GCCTGGGATCATAAACTAGCTCACTGTTCGACAGTAGATACGAAAAGGAAATTGGGCCTGAATTCCAAACTTGGGCAAGATACAGCCATATTAACACACAATTTCGCGGAAAATATTTCCCGCCATAATTACTCGGTTATCTCCCATTTATTTACATCTGAAGCCGATTCATCGATTTACTGTTACTGCAAATTTTCATAAATATTTTACATCATTCCAAATAACAACACCAGTGGCACAGTCAGCATGAAAAATCAACATCGACTGTTACTTAATTGTTGTAAATTGACTCGAAAGATCAATAATTAATGTTATTTAGGTGATTCCATGGTTAACTATATCATGTATGTAAATAATATGTTAAAAAATCGTCTGCCAGAAGAAACTGGCATAAGATTAACATAAACGTTGGATTGTACTTTATACAATTTAAGGTAAATGAAATAATCTATAATGTTCATACATGTCTGTAAAAAAGAAAAAAATGTTTATGCATGTCTGAAAATGAAAAAGTCTCACACTAATCAAACCAAAGTAAAGTCTATTATTTGGGCATTAACAAGTTTTGCTATAATACCTCCTTAGAGGATTAAAATTGAAAAATACCCTATATGTTCTTACCCCACACGTTCACTCCCTTGTTTCGTTCACACCCTATTTTTAATGAAATACAGGTTGAATTATTAGATGTTAATTCTAGATGTATAGGCCTATATCAAAATATTTAAATTTTCATGAATAAAAATTCGTGAATTTTTTAGAAAATATTAAAATATTATTTTGTTTGTGATTAAAATATTAATTACTAAATGTTAATTATTTATGAATCCTTTAATTGGTATTTTCTAAGCTAATTTGGTATTATTGTTATATAAATGCGTTTGCAAGTCATAATTGTTGCATAATAACTAGCTTAGGTGTGGTTACCCTAAATATTTGAGTGATCTTTTTTGATTTGGAATAGTGCATGATTAGAATGATTGTGTGAGCTTAAACATGTTAAAGTTTAATATTGTTGATGTTTATGATTGCTTCAAGATTTTTTTCAAATGGAAATAAATGCTCTGTAGGAACTTATAGCTGAAATGAATACATTGTGGCAATGTCATTGTGACGAGTTTGACAGTCGTTTGGTATCTTCCCCCTTTGTTTTACAAGTCTTAGATGAATGAACTAGGCCTTTGATCATCATGACAATATTTATTATCCTTTTCATCAAAATAATTCATAAAACACTATTAAAGGAAACATGTTTATGGTTTTAGAATGTCACTTTATTTTAAAACAATAAACAAAACTTATTATCTTTATTTATAGAAATACATGGACTAAAACATGATTAAAAACATAATGTAACATAAAATGTTTAAAAAGGGTGCGAACATGAAAGGGGTTGAGACGTGAATGGGAGCGAACATGATTTTGGGCGATTAGAGAGAGAGAGAGAGAGAGAGAGAGAGAGAGAGAGAGAGAGAGAGAGAGAGAGAGAGAGAGAGAGAGAGAGAGAGAGAGAGAGAGAACAGGTAATTTTTGTGTATATGATAAAGTACTTAGCACTTGAAGGTATTATAAGGCTAGAATTCAACAAGGAATGTACAAATGTCTGGCTGTAACTTGATCTGACAGGCCCAGGTTATTGTTATTTATAGGAGGTGTATAAATTCAAAGGGCTATTGGTTTTTTTAAACACAAAAATTTGGTGAATAAATTATATAAATCTGTGCAGTCAGGAAACTATTGGTGCTTAGCATTTTTAGTTATCAAAGTAATGTTTATTAATAATACAAAAATTAGAACTTAAGTCAAAGATCCTACCACCAAATTTAAAAGGTAAAAAGACCAAACTTAAAAAATCCCGAAAACCCACAATGCAAGAAAAGATTGAAGACAGAAAAAAGGGGCCAAATATTTAGACCTTAAAGCTCTTTATTGATAAATGAAAAGTCTTGGATCACATTACTATTTAGCAACAAAATTTAAATTAAAGCTTAGCAGTTCTATGGTCAATAAATGAGGTTGACGTATGTAGAAGTTCATATCAAAATAGGTTTTACTTATTTGAATTAAATATCTTAGCATGAATTAAAAGAACTTGGTCATTGTAATGAGACTGTTCAGGTAACCCTGTGACGATTTTCGGAGATAATTTAAAGATTTATTAATTTTTTCTCTTGAAATACTGTATTATGTGAGGGCTTAGGTTTATTAAAATTTGATAAGTGGATTCAATTTTGATAACATTTCAATAATTAAAGTAACACTTTAAGATCTGTTTCTTTCAATTTATTATTCCAATGTTCATGTGATGATAGATGACATTGATATATATCAATTGTAATTACATCTAAGGCTTTACAATAATGTTTCTGTTTACCTCACCAACCCTCAGTTTTTTGGTCACAATTGCTGATCTTGAAAATTCACCAAGTTTCAGTTGTAGTCTCAAATAAGCTGGGTTTTTTATGTGTAAAGGGAAGAAAGGAATTTCTGTTTTAGTTAAGAACATGTACACATTTTTATTACACAGTAAAGATGATGGATAATTAGTCTTTTTTCAATACCAAGAAAATATTTCATTAATAGCACAAAAATGACACATAAAACAGCATTTATATACATATTATGGTTTTATTTTTTTCAGGATTAAATTAATACTGACAATGTGGTACCGTGATATACCTATCTGCTTTTTATTAGTGGTACCTGTAGCAGCATTCATTGGTATGTACATTAAATAAAATCCCTTCATAAAATTAATGGCCACTGTGGTTATGTGGTAGTCTGCTGGCCTTGAGTATGAGAGCTGTAGGGTTTGATCCCCAGCCAGGATAAGCCAAAGTGACCATGTGACATTTACAATTCTGGCTGAGCATGTCAATCTAGTACAAAGCATGGTTATATATATACATGTATATCTATTACACATTTATATGTTTTCATCTTGAATATGCATTTAATTTGCCACTGGACATTAAACAGCCATCCATCATCATCTTCATTAATTTAACATAAGGTTATATCATAATATTTATAATACTCTACTCTTATCCTGAATATTCATTAAATATTTGCCACTTTATGTTCAGCAAGCAAATGTTATAAATATTAACAAAATAGAGGGTCTTAGAAAAAAATAACCTGCTATCAATCTGATTGAAGAACAGTTCCTGTGTCCATGCTTCACTAACAATGATCTGACAACATTCCATTCTACTTTCTGTTATTGGATCGGCCAAGTAGTAGGTTCGGTAAGGCCTAAAATGGCCCCTAATTCTAGCTACAATTTCAAGTTAAGATTTATTGACCAATATCACAATGAATCATAGCTAATACAATGACTAAATAGGAAATATGTCTTTTTGCTTAAAAATTTATGTACTTGAGTTCAATTCATGTCATCACAAATAGCATTGATTTTGATTGTCAACAAAAATTCAATGAAAATGAGTAAATTTCCATTGATTTTTTGAACAAGCATCATAGAGCATGTGTCCACAAAAAAAATCTTTTCACATAATGTTTGTTATAACATTTTACATATCTGACTTGAATATTTAGTTTGTCAACGCCTGCGCTCTATTTTTCTTATGCCTTAATTTAGTTGAAATTTCGGATGATAAAATCTCTATTTTTGGCATGACAGACGTAAAAATCAATGCTTTAAAAAAAATAAGTGCAAAAGAATTCTATTTAACTTTCTCACATGTCTTTATATCAACTTAAAACCATTTGTTTTATCTTGAACCATTGAACTTAATTATCGGGGCCATTTAGTTATGTATTTGTAATGTGAGATAAAATATAATTTAAATTTGAGCAATTTTTCACCTTTTTGGTAGACGGGAGATATTTCAAATGTAAACCATGTTCCAGTGCTCATTACAAATGTATTATTAGAATGTAAAAGAGCTTTACTTGGGAATATTTTAAAATAATGGATTGAGTGCCATTAAACTATCTAAATACCTGAAAGAAATCTGGAAAAGTAACTTGAAATCTAAAAGGTTTTAATGTTTAGATGTTCAGATGTTTAACATCACAAGGTCAAGTTTTATTAACTGAGTTTTTCCCGAAAAAGACAGTTATTAATTTGGTGAAGTATGGCGGGTTGGCGGGCGACTGCCTACAGTTTCTTTGCAATAACTTATGAACCGTTCAACAATGCTTTTCAAATTTTAATATGTTGACACTAATGACAAAATTGAGGTCAAGTTTTATATAGATGATTTTCACTTTTACCATTCAGGAGTTCTGGTGCTTGATCTATTGGAAATGGGCGGCTGCCAACAGTTTCTGTGCAATAACTTATGAACTGTTCAACCAATGCTTTTCAAATTTTAATATGTTGATACTAATGACAAAATGGAGGTCATTCTATTCAATTACTTATGAACCCTTCTACCAATGGTTTTAAAATTATAATATGTTGTTATTGATGACAAAATAGAGGTCAAGTTCAATAAAGACAATTTTCACTTTTACCGTTCAGGAGTTATGGTACTTGATCTATTGGAAAATGGTACTTTATGTCGATATTGCAATTACTTATGAACAACTTGACTAATGCTTATAAAACTTTAATATGTGGTTGCTGATGAAAAATGAAACTAAAGTTAGATATTGATGAGTTTGGCCTTTGCTACCAATGAGTTATGGTTCTTGATAGATTGAAAAACTGCATTTTATGTCGTTACCATGCAATTACTTATGTACTGTTCAACCAATGCTCTTTAAAATGGTGGTCAAGTTTGAAATTAGCAATTTTGTTTTTTGCTGCTCAGGAGTAATGGTTCTTGAATGATAGATTAGAAAATAGGCTTAGAATGTGGCAGGAAGAAAAAAGCCTAAAAGGGCCTTTCAAAATACAGAAAACCCAGTTTGCTGTCAATTTGACAGCTCATTCCTTGTCTAAAAGTGAGTTAAGCTAGTAATCAGAAAAAAAACTGCTGAATATATACATTATTCAAGATTTTACTGTTTTGTTTTTAGAATTCACACAAATGCCACTAAGTCAGGCTGTTGTATATGGACACAATATTGTTTTAAATTGTGAAGCTGTAACAGATCTACCTGGTACCCTAACATATTCTTGGTACCACAATGGGAACCAGTTATCAGCCTCTGTATTTTCCAACAATTCCTTGCTGATAGTTGATGTACAGCAAAGTAAACTTGGTAACTACAGTTGTCATGTGACCAGCAGTAACAGTTCAGAGACAATCATATTGTCATCAGCAGTCATCATTCAAGCATGTAAGATATTTTAAGCAGGGTAGAGAAGGGTGTACTTTTTCTAACATAAATATCAGGATTAAGTGTAAGTTAAATATTTCAAGGAATTTAACTTAATACTGGAACTTAGTATAAATATAAGGAGATGTGGTATGATTGCTCCTGAGACAACTATTCATCAGACTCCATATGATATAGAATGGCTAAAAGTGGTAGATGCAGTAAAATATATATATATATATAACGGATAAAAGATTGAATTTGCTACTGAATATGTTTTTAGAATATATATGGCAGAATTGATGAAGAATTTGAACATGATTAGGGAAAACAATTTTTTTTAAAGAACACCATTTCACTTATTAAATTATGCTTCTGTAAAACTATATATATATCTTTATCATTTCCAATTCAGAATTTTTTATTGGATATTTTGTATTTTTTCAATAAATGCAAAAGTATAAGCATTGCATGATGTCATGTAACCTAATATTTTAAACTCTCATAGATGTGAATTAAAGGAGATCTCTGGTACTATGTATTCATTATTATTCGTTGGATTCCAATTTTCCTGGATTTCATGGGTATAGGTGAACCACGAATTAAGATGTTCAACAGATTATAATTTTATATAGGCTTGTATGAGGCTATGGCAAAACCAAGAAATTAGATATCCACACAAATGTAAGTTTTCCTTAATCCATGGAAATTGGTACCCATGAAAATAATTGAATCTACAGCAGTAATAGTATTCAGAACTTACAGAAATTACATTGATTAATCTCACATTATTGTTTGTGGATCAACATTTCCATAACAAATGCATGTAATACTTTCTGAACATTTACAGAACTGTGATTTTGTTAACTTCAAGGATATAGACATAGTTGTCTTCCATATTGTGCCAAATAAGGTTATATGATGAGGATGAGATCACATTTAATGAGGTTTAAAATAAAATAAAATATTTTTATTGTAGATATAAAAGCATTTGTAACTAACCCATCACAAGTAACAGTTACAGAAGGTGAAGTTGCCATACTGGAATGTGTTACTGGAGAAAGTGCCCCACCCCCTCAAGTTTATTGGGAAAAAGATGGACAGCAAGTCACCTCTGGTTCACAGTATAAAGCTAGATTTGGATCCCATTCATATGACATGATTGGGCAGTATTACATGAAACTAATTTTGGAATCCAAACCTAGGGAGACTGGATCATATTCCTGTGTAGCAGTTAACACAGCCCAAGGAATACGAGTAAAGAGTTTATTGGTACAAGTTAAAATATCTGGTAAGAATAGATCAGTTAAGCTGAGATACATATTACAGCAATTTTTTTATACACCCGTTTACGGGACGTATTATGGTATACCATTGTCCATCGTCAACATGTCGGACATTAACTCAAAAATGTTTTAACCAATTTGCATAAAACTTTGGTGAATTGTTTATATCTATTGACGTGAGCTCCCATTCATTTTTATAAAATTTAGATTTTATGTTTCCGAGTTATGAGGTTTAATTCATTAAAAAAAGGGGGATTTTCCAGTTTTCGGACAATAAGTCTTGAATGCTTTCACCAACTTGCAAGAAATTGTATTGAATTGTTTATATCTATTGACATGAGCTCCCTTTCGATTTTTATAAATTTTAGATTTTACGTTTTAGAGTTACAGGGTTTTATTCATAAAAAAAGGGGGGATTTTCCAGTTTTCGGACAAAAACTCAAAAATGCTTTCAGCAATTCTTATGAAACTTTGGTGAATTGTTTGTATGTATTGATGTAAGCTCCCTTTAGAATTTTATAAATTTTACATTTTACATTTCTGAGTTATGGGGTTTAATTCATTAAAAAAAGGGGTGATTTTCCAGTTTTCGGACAGTAACTCAAAAATGCTGTCACCAATTCTCATGAAACTTTGGTGAATTGTTTATATCTATTGATGTAAGCTCCCTTTTTATTTCATAAATTTCTAATATGACATTGAGAATTAATTGAACTTTATTTGTTTATAGTTTGACAACAGATTTACTAAGTATTGCACAACAGCAAGAAATCTTTAATTGAATATAAATTCAATTCATATAACCAATTTCAAGTTCTTTGACTACATTTATTCAGAAACCTATAATATGTCAAATATTTAATTACAATCCAAATTCAGACCTGATTCAAGCTTGAATATTGTGTCCATTTTTGCCCCAACTGTTCAGGGTTGGACCTGTGCGGGCGTATCTAGCTAGGCTCAGCGAAGCAGTTTATTCATTTTTGGCAGGTTTTGGGTTTTCTGGCTGATAGAATAGTGAATGTTGGGCAGCTTGGAAAATAGGGTATCTGCTCTGTGTTATTAATCCTCTAACAGTTTTAAATTGATGAATAGCTTTTAAACTTTCTTTTATGTTTGTTTATATCAGTGTTCTCCCCAGGATTTTTGGATAGCACCAGGGTAACGCGTGTCAAAATGATTTGTACAATATGTCGTGTCGCGTTGCATCGCTTTTTTTTTTCTTGTTAGTTTTTGTGTCATTACCTTTTTGTCTTTGTTTTGTTTACTGTATTATGTAGACTTTGGGTCAAAAAATTACTGGTAAAAAAAGAAGTAAATCAATAAACAGTTTGTATACTTTAATTTCTTTTAAGAATAAATAAAAGAAAGCACTCTTAGTCTTTAAACTAAAGTCACTTTTTATATTTTGATCAAGCCAATTTGTCCTGATACTTGTAGTTACACTACACATTCCCCATTTTTGTTAGATTACACCATAACAATTAAATTTAAACAAGATTAAATTTTAATGCAGAACCTTTAGTAAATTAAAAACTATTTTCCATAGCTTTACTTGACATGATTCTTTTAAACAACAATACAATTATTATTATAATCATTATTGTGTTTCTTGGTAGACAGACATGAAGAGTAAATTTATATCATCTATCTGTGCACCCATGTATCATATCTAGCTGAGTTCCAATCAGTGACTAAAGACTTTGACTACTTTCAGTTACAAATTGGAAACTACTACCTATTTATTATAATATGTCTGTGCATTAATGAAAGTATGATTATCAAAAATAATTTGCAATATATTTTTGTTGGTATGTTCAAAGAAAGTTTTTATCCTTAAAGTAACATTCTTATATAATTTTGCATTCAATTTGTACTTTATTTCTATTTTCAATGATAGATAATATATTAGGAGCACTTATTTGTAATAAGCTAAATCAGGGGAAGTAACTCCAACATGTTTAAAATACGCAAATTATTTATGACCAAAGGCTGGAGTGATAGAGTTATTTAACAAATGTCTGCTTGTCCCTCACAAGTGTGATAATTAATTATGATCTCTTTATTAATTAAAACACAAAAGAATCATGTACATCGATTAATCCAATCATCAAGGTTAACCTCAAAAGGTAAATCGATCACGTGGTGTAAACAATCTAGTTGTAAGAACTGGATTGAACTGGTTTGAACTGGTCAATTTTCTTCTGAAATTTTATACCCACGGAAAAGGTTTAACAAGTCGTTTAAAACTTTACCGATTTACAATTTTTTTCCCGAAAATTTAAGCACCACGGAGAAAAATTATACATCGCGGCAAGAACGATACCACCACCGTAGAAAATTATACATCGCGGGCCCGCGGTCCTTTAAGGGCCTGGGGAGAACACTGTTTATATATTGAAGATGTGCACATTTGAAGTACAGACACCGAAAGCCAATTCTCTGTAGCATTCTTGATGGACTGGGTACCAACTATTGTGTATTTAACTTAATGTAGAAACTAGAGACTTTGAAACTTTGAAGACTTGATTTAAGAATTGAATATGTAATCACACTGTGTAAATATAATATAAAAAAAAAATCAAAATTGGTAATACCAAGTTTATTTTTAGCAACTCTCTCAATAGAGGGTTGCCATTTTGTATAATCTCTCCTCCAACAGTATTTAACAAGGAACCTTCATTCTCTTGGAATGTTTGTATATATGTTACAGTGAATTTGTATAATCAGGGATTATGTAGAATCCCTGATTTTTCAGGGATTATGTAGAATCACCAAAATCATTAGTGATTATATATAATCCCTGAAAATGACCAGTAATTTTACATAATCACTAAACATTTTAATAATTATTCTACAAATTCCCTAGTATGATTTCAGGGATTATCAATAATTCAAAGATCCTGTGTTTGATAAAAATTAAATAAAGATAACTTGTCGTTTGTGTTTTCTTATTCCTTGAAAGTTTAAGTGAACAGTAAGTATTTAAATTGTTTAAAGCCTCCTACCATCTCTTATATTTCACATAGATTACACTCTTTACATCCTTATACATTAACATAAGATTGGGGCTGGTGGGCATGGATCTAAAAAAATAACAAAACTTAAATATCTGACGATGATATGCAATCTATTTAATTTCAAGTTCATCATGGTTTACCAAGATCATTTATATGACAAAAAATGTTCAAAATGTAAATCCACAGTGCATTTTATTTGTAGTAAAACAAATGGCGAGGAAGGTTATGAAACCTCTGTGTGTATTTTGTGTTCAAATGAACAAGAAATTCAAACTGAGAGAACTGACGCAACTAAATGTATAGAAACATTCGTAAGGGTTCCGCGGAACCCAGTGTCTCGCCTACTTTTGCTGTTGTCTATGTTTTCAGTGTGATAGGAAAATGCACATGATAGATTAATTTAACAGTTACTGAAATGGTTTATGTATCTAAAAAATGTTTTAAAAACTTTAACTGCAGACTGAATGTAATGTTAGCTGGAAAAAAAACTAAGTCCATTTATAAGTAATGTACGGATAAACAGGAAATAATTTGTTTTTAAATTTCTTTCTAGATACTAGCTTTTGATCATAAACAAGTTTCTGTCCAAGTTTGGTACAAATCCAGGATAGTTTAAGAAAGTTATTATTTTTTTTTAAACTTTAACCACAGAGTGAATGTAATGTTTGTTTTTTAAAATATTGTGCTTAATATTTTAATATTATATGCTTAATAATTTAGTATATTGTTCCTAACATTTTGATATGTTGTGCATAACATTTTAATGTATTCAAGTACAATTTATGACAAAAATCAGCAAATACCCATCGAAACAACATCTGATACACAAATTTAATAATACTTTTAGATATTTGGATGATATTTTGGCTCTCAATAATGACGACTTCAGTATGTATACTAAAGAAATTTATCCTGTTGAACTTACTTTAAATAAAGCTAATACTAACAATGACCACTGCCCTTTCCTCGATCTTGATATCTATATCATTAACGGAAAGCTTAATACTAAAATATATGATAAAAGAGATGATTTTTCATTTCCTATCGTTAATTATCCATTTTTAGATGGTGACGTTCCCTTGTCACCATCTTACGGTGTTTATATATCTCAACTTGTACGATTCGCTCGTGTATGTAACAATGTTTTAGATTTTAACGAGAGAAATTTATGTATTACTGAAAAATTATTACACCAGGGTTTTCGATATCACAAACTAGGCAAAACATTTACTAAATTTTATCATCGGTATAAGGACATCATTCGTAAATATAGCTCAACATGCAGACTTCTTATACGTTCAGGTATTTCACATCCAATTTTTTATGGAAATATTCTTTATAAAGCACAAAAATGTCAGTATTCACCTCTGAAGCTAACAAAACCTTTAAATAGACTTATTAAGAAGGGATATAGTTACGATACTGTTGTCAGGTCATTAAAGATTGCATATTTTGGCGTTAATATTGATTCACTTATAGGGTCTTTGCATCGGCACTAAACACATTTATTTAAAAACCAGTTGTTGGCATGACACGGTTTATGTTCTTCTCATATATGTTATGATGGTATGATACTAAACCCCTAACGGGAAGGATTGTGCCTGATATTCATATGATGAAGACATAATCTTTCAATCAGTTTAATTGAAGTCTGGAGCTGGCATGTCAGTTAACTGCTAGTAGTCTGTTGTTATTTATGTATTATTGTCATTTTGTTTATTTTCTTTGGTTACATCTTCTGACATCAGACTCGGACTTCTCTTGAACTGAATTTTAATGTGCGTATTGTTATGCGTTTACTTTTCTACATTGGCTAGAGGTATAGGGGGAGGGTTGAGATCTCATAAACATGTTTAACCCCGCCGCATTTTTGCGCCTGTCCCAAGTCAGGAGCCTCTAGCCTTTGTTAGTCTTGTATTATTTTCAATTTTAGTTTCTTGTGTACAATTTGGAGTTTAGTATGGCGTTCATTATCACTGAACTAGTATATATATTTGTTTAGGGGCCAGCTGAAGGACGCCTCCGGGTGCGGGAATTTCTCGCTGCATTGAAGACCTGTTGGTGACCTTCTGCTGTTGTCTGTTCTATGGTCGGGTTGTTGTCTCTTTGACACATTCCCCATTTCCATTCTCAATTTTAAGGTTATCATTTTAACATATTGTGCTTTACATTTTACAATCTATATGTTTGTAATGATGTTTTAATATGATTTAAAGAATGAATTATTTAACTTTTATCCATTTTCTATATAAATGAAACTAATTCTTCATTTCAGTTATTCTGTATAATCCCTGACATTTTTTCTAGTGATTATACATAATCCCTGAAAATTTTAGTGATTATATATAATCCCTAAACTAACCAGTGATTCTACATAATCCCTGAACATTTTAGGGATTCTACATAATCACTGATTATACAAATTTACTGTAACATATACACTGAATAAAATTTCAACACTGTCAATTCAGAAAAAAAATTGGGTGCATTTATTATTGGGATTGTAAAACTAATAATGGACAAATATGAGAGATAATTATTGCCATTTCAGACAATGCTTTATACAAATATGCTATCATAATTAAAAATGCCAGTTTTTGTTTTTTCAAAACCCTATGAGGTCGCAATGTTCACAAAAATGTTTGAATTTACAGTATTTAAATATTTACATATCCTAGAAATCATTTATAGATGTAACTGTCTTTTTAATTTAACAGTTTCTATTGCTTGACTTGGTATGTAATGATAGAGGTTTCCTCTTTCAGCAACAGAAACAAAACCGTACATAGATGTAGATATTTCCCAGAATTCTACAGTGATGGCACCAGAGGGTTTTTTGTTGGTTCTCAACTGCGCAATAGGTGGTTTCCCTAAACCTGTGATCACATGGTACAAACTCCAAGATGTCATTGTTCCTGACTCAAGAGTTAGAGTCTTAACAAATGGTAGTTTAGAGTTCGTGCTACTGATCCAAGATGACCAAGGTTACTATTTCTGTGAAGGCAGCAACTATCTTGGGCATGTCAGAACTCAAGATGTTTTTGTTCAAGTTTCTTGTAAGTACATTAATTTAAAAGAGAGGCGAAAGATACCAGAGGGACATTCAAACTCATAAATCGAAAATAAACTGACAACGCCATGGCTAAAAAAGAAAAAAAAACCAGATAAACAATAGTACACAAAACACAACATAGAAAACTAAAGACAAAGCAAAACGAACCAACCAAAAACTGGGGGTGATCTCAGAGGCTCCTGAAGGGTAAGCAGATCCTGCTCCACATGTGGCACCCGCCATGTTGCTCATGTTAGTACAAACCCAGTAAATAGTCTAATTCGGTAGGTCACATTAAGGTATTTTTTTCCTTTGCTACCTGTATAATGAATAATTTCATGTAAACTTTTAATTGTAAATTCCCTTAAAAATATCATATTAAAAATACTTTATAACATTGATTCTCATATTAACTAGAATAAGGAGATGTGGTATGATTGCCAATGAGACAACTATCCAACAGAGTTAAATGACATGGATTTAAGCAATTATAGGTCACCCTATGTATGGCCTTCAACAATGAGCAAAACCAATACCATATGGTTAGCTATAAAAGACCCCACATGACATAATATGACCAAACCAACGCCCTGATTTATAACAAAACAATTATCGAAAATAACTGATTTAACAGACAGCAACCTATGACAACCACCAATTAACAGGCTTTTGACTTGGTACAAGCACATACAGTATATGGCAGCCCCTCCCTTAACATGAGACATTAGCTTAACAGCAGAACATAAAAAGAAACTGTAAAACTCAGTTAGAAATGGCCTAACTCATTAGATCGACACAAAGCCGAAAAGAAAACAAATAACTTAAAGACAAAAGACACAAAATAATGATGTTAGAGAACTCACAGATCTATACTAAAAGCCAGTTGAAAGCCAATGACAACTTATTAATAAACCAATGCCACGGACCATAAGAACATGTTTAATTAATCTTTTTATCATGTTTAAAGTGGATACCGCCTATTATGTTCAAGAGCAATGCCAATTTCTTTTCTTGCAGAAAAAAAAGGATTTTGTTTTGGTATTTGTGACTCATATGTTATTGCTGTAAAATTCATCACATTTTACAATTCTTTACATAGATATTGACCTTTTATTCCAAGAAGAACCAGATTCATTATATATAACAGCAGGACAACCAGTTGTTCTTCATTGCTCTCCACCAATCAGCTTTCCTTCAGCTAATGTATCATGGTACAAAAACAACCAACCAATGAAATACAGGTAAAATCTTTACTGCTCTCCACCAATCAGTATTTCTTGAGGTAATGCAACTTGGTACAAAAGCAACAATACTATGAAATACAGATAAAACTCTTCATGATTTTTTCAGCTGATGTAACATCGGTTAAAAACAACCAACCAATGAAATTCATATGATATTAATTATCTGCTCTCCGCCATATCTGCCAATTTCCACTATTTAGGAGAGAACTACATCATTTTTACATATATTCTTGACTGCAGCATGATGATCTTGAAAATAGCTCTATTAAAAACACAATTTTGTTATCACAATTTTGTAAAAATTCACAACACACAGACAGAGTTCGAATTTGGGCAGTGAGTCATTTACTGTTCTAGAGTTATGCCCCTTTTTAACTTGGAAAATAGCAAAGCTGGAGCTGGGGCATTTATTTCCTTAGACACATTCTTCTTTTTTTAATATGGTTTTAGTTGAACTTCTTGGGGAAAAAAGAAATATTGTTAATACATTTTATGATGTCAGTATTTTCTCATGACAAACAAATACTCTACTGTTTATGATCAGTTTTCATTTGGAAATAGCAGTTAAAGATAACATGCTTTTTTAATTTACATTTTAGCAAATTTTTAATAAATTTTACTTGTAGAAGTGTTTAAGGGGAGATAATTCAGACACGTTAAATGAGCTTGGGTAATACCTAAGATTTAATGATTAAAAGATACAAGTTGTTTTTGCAAGGTAGGAAATTGTTTATTTCAGAACAGGAGAACAGGCTGTTTACATTGTTGATCCTTTGGTTGGAATCTGGAATCTATTCTTTACAGATATACAGAAACAGGATGAAGGCAGATATTTTTGTGTAGCTACAAATAGTTATGCTATTCCCACATCTAGAACCTCAAAGTCAGCAGACTTGCAGATTGGAGGTATGCTAATAAGGTCAATAATTATGTTAAGAAGATATAGCTGTCTGAGATCAATCAGACTTTACATTTTCTTTAATGAAATATTATGTTTAAGAGGTCAAATTTTGTAATTTTACAACTCTTAAATTCTTCCGACAGTGAGCAAATTTTACCGAGTAAATACACTGTATACTCTGAAGTTGAAATTGAGCCTGATTATGATGATAAAAACTACTTACCGGTAAGTTCATTTTTTTTCTTTCAAATTATTATTTGTTTCGTAAAAGTAACTATATTTTGAATTTGCTATATAGGTGGTCCAGTGTTTTTAGATCCTCCAGTATCAACCTCTGTGGTTACTGGAGATGGAACTCAGATGACATGCATGGTTGGAGGAGATCCCTTCCCACAGATTACTTGGTTTTTAGATGGACTTATGGTTATTCCTGATGACACATTAATTTTAAGGTCAGTCTTTTGACACACATATTAATGTAAAAAACACAAGCAATAGTACAGTACACAATTATAGTGAGAATGAACTAAAAGTGCTGTTCCTTTGATTTTTGTGTTTGTTTGCTCTGCATGGACTGATTTTGTGTCATGGATGGATACCTGATATCCCTTCATTTCTATTATAAGTTTAATGATTGTACCTTAGAATTGGTGTAAGGATATTCTGAGATGTATCTTGGAATAAAAACTAGTTTACTCTCATATCTCCTTTTATCCATTGTGAAATTTTCTCCTCATTCATCAGACCACATTTTTATACCCTGCCTAGGATAGTGTGGGGCATTATGTTTTCTGGTCTGTGTGCCTTCTGTCTGATATTCCTTCCATCCAGTATCAGGTTAATTTTAAAAAGAATTATGTCAAATTATGGTTTTGACCCTGATTTCGCTGTTCACTGAAAGTCGGTACATTTTCAGGTTTATGTTTCTGGTTAACTTCAGACTTAGTACACATTTTTATTATGATGTGAATTTTTAGCTCACCTGGCCCGTCTTCGTCCGTCGTCTGTCGTTGTCGTCGTAAACTATTTCAAAAATCTTCTCCTCTGAAACTACTGGGCCAAATACCTTCAAACTTTAACTGAATGTTCCTTAGGGTATCTAATTTATAAATTGTATCCGAAGTTTTGATCCATCAACAAACATAGCCGCCATGGCTAAAAATAGAACATAGGGGTCAAATGCAGTTTTTGGCTTATATCTCAAAAACTAAACCATTTAGAGCAAATCTGACAAGGGGTAAATATAAAACGATAATAAAGACAATAACACCCATCGATTACCGCATGGTAAGAGTTTATTCTGGTCGACATGTTTCGCCATCAAGCATGGCGTCTTCAGGACAATATTACATATGAAATCAAACAGTGAAGTACAAGGGGTAAAAATGTTCAATAGGGTAAGATCTATCAGCCCTGAAATTTTCAGACGACCCGAACAACCCATTGTTGGGTTGCTGCCACTAAATTGGTAATTTTAAGGAAATTTTGCAGTTTTTGGTTATTATCTTGAATATTATTGAAGATAAAGATAAACTGTAAATAGCAAAAATGTTCAGCAAAGTAAGATCTACAAAAAGTTAATATGACCAAAATTGTCAATTGACCCCTTAAGCAGTTATTGCCCTTTAAAGACAATTTTACACAATTTATTCATCATGTTTGCTAACATTTAAAAATCTTCTCCTCTGAAACTACTGGGCCTAATACTTCTAAAATCTAACTGAATGTTCCTTAGGGTAACTGGTTTATAAATTGTATCCGAAGTTTTGATCCATTAACAAACATGGCCGCCATGGCTAAAAATAGAACATAGGGGTCAAATGCAGTTTTTGGCTTTTATCTCAAAAACTAAAGCAGTTAGAGCAAAAGTGACATGGAGTTAAAAAGATGAATAAGTCAAGATCTATCTGCTATGAAATTTTCAGACCAATTGGACCTCCCATTGTAGGGTTACTGTTGGAAATAGTAAATTTTTATGAAATTTTACTGTTTTTGGTTATTATCTTTAATATTATAATAGATAGAGAGAAAGTGTAAATGGCAAAAATGTTCAGCTAAGTAGGATCTACAAATAAGTCAAATGATCGAAATAGTCAATTGACTCCTTCCTTGAAACATTTATTTTTTACATTTTTTCGTGCAAGTCTTTTTCAAAAATCTTCTTCTCTCAAAATAATGGGCCAAATACTTCCAAACTTTAACTGAATGTTCCTAAGGGTATCTAGTTGATAAATTGCATCCGAAGTTTTGATCCATCGACAAACATGGCCGCCATGGCTAAAAATAGAACATAGGGGACAAAAGCAGTTTTTGGCTTATATCTCAAAAACTACAGCAGTTAGAGCAAAAGTGAAAGGGAGTTCAAGTGATAAATGGGTCATGATCTATCTGTTATGAAATTTTCAGACAAGTTCGACAACCCATTAATGGGTTACTGTTGGAAGTAGTTTATTTTTATTAAATTTTACTGTTTTTGGTTATTTTCTTTAATATTATAATATATAGAGAGAAAGTATAAATGGCAATAAATGTTCAGCTAAGTAAGATCTACAAATAAGTCAACATGATCAAAATAGTCAATTGACCCCTTGAGGAGTTATTGCCCTTTCAAACGTTTTTTTTAACATTTTTTGTGAAAGTCTAATTACTTTTTCAAAAATCTTCTTCTCTGAAACTACTGGGCAAAATACTTAAAAACTTTAATTGAATGATCGTAGGGTATCTAGTTTATAGATTGTATTTGGGGATTTGATCCATTCAAAAACATGGCGGCAGAGTCTAAAAATAGAACATAGGGGTCAAATAAAGTTTTTGGCTTTCATCTCAAAAACTAAAGCAGTAAGAGCAAAACTGACATAGGTGAAAGTGTAAAACAGGTTTAGATCTATCTGTCAAGTAATCTTCAGACCAATAGGACAACTTATTGTTGGGTTACTGTCCAGAAAAAGTTAATTTTTAGGAAGTTTACAGTTTTGGGTTATGTATTATCTTTAATGTTATTATAGAAAGAGAGAAAGTGTAAATGACAAAATTGTTCAGCAAAGTAAGATCTACAAATAAGTCGAATGCCTGAAACTGAAATTACAGGTGAGCGATAAGAGGCTCATGATCATGAGCCTCTTGTTTCAATTGTATGCAAACTTACTGTTTTTTCCCTGATTTAATGGTTCACTGAACAAGGCAAATTATGCAAGTGCAAGCAGGGCATGTTGTCCTATGGACACAAATTCTTGTTAAGCTTTTGTTCAATGTTAAATAGAAAGTTGTATTGATACTTGTCACCCTTAATTTCAAAGAAGATTCCTAGTTTCTACCATCTTATAAAAGAACCTTTTATTTTGTTATAATCTGCATGTAATTTACAGGAATCAGAACCAAGAACTTCACATGGCAAATGTTAACAAGATAAGAGAAGGACTTTATACATGTAAAGCTACAAATGTATATGGTGAAGCTGAATCTACTGCTTATTTGAAAGTTCTAGGTAATAAATATTTTCTACTGGTATCGTACTTTTAATTTTTGTCTGAACACACTCACCAGAAAGGTTCACATTGTGGCTTGTGGCCGATATTTTACGACACCAGTGTGTAGAAAACCTGTTAATCTATACTTGGAGCAGCTAATAGAGTACCCCTTTCTTGAGAAACTTTGGGTTGATCCTTTTAGAGGTTATTGAGAGCCAAAAGACGTTGATGGCTGAGATTTTCATTTTGCTCGATGGAGATTCTCTCTTTGTTGGAGGTAATGGCTCCTTTGAAATAGTTTACCTCAAGATTTTTTATATGTTTTCAGATATGAACACAAGAGTAGAAAAAGAAACATCAATGGTACATATTTATCTATTGTTTCCTGCTGTATTTCAGTGCCACCAGTTATTGTAGATTTTACTGAATCAGTCACAGTTATATCAGACAATGATTTGGTACTACCTTGCTATGTAAACGGAGATCCTAAACCCACTATTCAGTGGTTAAAAGGTTAGTTTTAACTCCTAGTAAATATTGGTAAAAAATCTACAAATTTCATATTGTTGCAGTTTAAAATAAAAAAATGAAAATGCTAGAATTCTAACTTTTGCTTTTTAAAAGTTGAACTTATTCACTGCAATCTAGGGAATTTTGGTTTTATTCATGGTATGATGACTAATAGTTTTCCGTGTTTCGAAGTTTAGAGGAAAATTATTGTACTTACAGTTCTTTCATATATACATGTATGGTAATATTCTTTACAAAGCACAAAAATGTCGGCATTCACCTCAAAAGCTAACCAAACCTTTAAACAGACTTATTCGGAAAGGATATAGTTACGATACCATTGTCAAGTCATTAAGGATTGCATATTTTGGTATTAATATTGATTCACTCATAGGGTCTTTGCATCGGAAATAAACGCATTTATTCTAAAACCAGTTATTGGCATGATACAGGTTATGTTCTTCTCATATATTTTATGATGGTATGATACTAAACCCCTTACGGGAGGGATTGTACTTGATTTTCATATGATGAAGACATAATCTTTCAATCAGTTTAATTGAGGTCTGGAGCTGGCATGTCAGTAACTGCTAGTAGTCCTTTGTTCATTTATGTATCATTGTCATTTTGCTTAGTTTCTTTTGTTACCTATTCTGACATCGGACTCAGACTTCTTTTGAACTGAGTTTTACTGTGCGTATTGCTATGTGTTTCTTTATTCTACATTGGCTAGAGGTGTAGGGGGAGGGTTGAGATCTCACAAAACATGTTTAACCCCGCCGCATTTTTGCACTTGTCCCAAGTCAGGAGCCTCTGGCCTTTGTTAGTCTTGTATGTTATTTTTAATTTTAGTTCATTTATATGTTTTGGAGTTTAGTGTGACGTCCATTTTCACTGAACTAGTACACAATTTTATTTAGGGGCCAGCTGAGGACCACCTCCGGGTGCGGGATTTTCTCGCTGCGTTGAAGACCCATTGGTGGCCTTCAGCTGTTGTCTGCTCTTCGGTCGGGTTGTTGTCTCTTTGACATATTCCCCATTTCCATTCTCAATTTTATGGACACAGGATAACAACTGTAGTATCATGTGACTGGTCATTTTTCAGGGGTTAATTTACCTATAAGACCATTCTCTCGCCAACTTAGAACTGGTCAAGTTCTAATTATATGTTTATTCATGTTATTGTTTACATTTTCATATTTTTAAAATGATCTTCCGAGCATTAGGGTTTGGACACAGGTTTCCATTTTGACTGAGGTAACTTGGGTGTAGTTGGTTTTTCCTGGCTGGTGTGTTCATTTATGACAGAGTAAAAACATGTATTGGCAGTTTAAATATTGTTAATATATTTATATATTATTTTCATGATTTTTCTGTTTGGTATTCATGTTTATACATATGAATTTATTGTTTATCCGTATAAATATTATTTTGTAAATAAAAATAGATTATAATAAAATCTTGTGTCCCTCTAGTCTTGTGGACGATCGGGAAATATAATATTTGAGATAATTTTGCCTTATATTAGTATAGTGTGTACAACATATTATGTTGATTTGAAGAAGCATACATAAAATAGACGAAAATTTATACATTTTACACCAAAAGGCCATAGAACACAATTATTATCTCTCAAGACAATGTAATTCATCTATTCATGGTATTGTTTTTAGATGGAAAAGATATTATTTCAAGTGACAGGATTCTTATCGGGTTATCTGACCTTACTGTGAAGAAAGTTGATCTTTATGATGCAGGAATCTATACCTGTCATGCATTTAATATGGCTGGTGCAGTTTTTGGTATGGCAACTGTCACAGTTAACAGTATGTATCCATCAATATTTTTACTACATTTTTGCCATAACCTTAAGGGTTATTGCAGAAATAAAAAGAGCGTTATTTTCCACCTCGTATACAAATATTAATGAAATATTTCCACTGTAAGTTATGCAATGATGATAAGTCATTTGTCAATGAATCTAGATAAATAAAATATGCAACTCACAAGCCTCATATTAAATAAAAAGTTTTAAAATTGGAAATGAAAAATCCTAAGTTACAGAAATTTATACTTGTATTGGAACTGAAATTTAGACATATTTACATCAGCAAAGATGTTGTATATAAAGGAAGTACTGTAGATTTATTTATTTTCATGGTACCAGTTTTCATGGACTGATGAAAAATTGTATTTTTGCAGATATTTAATTACATGGTTTTATTGTCTCACCTGCGACGAAAGTCACAGTATGCGAGACATAGGTATTACTATCCAGCGGCGACAGCGGCGTAAACTATTTGTATAAAGCATTATATTTCAGAAGGTAGAAGACCTGGATGCTTCATACCTTGTATGCAGATACCTTATGTCATGAAGTTTCCGTCTGTCATATGCCCATTGTCCTTGACCTCATTTTCATGGTTCAATGACTGCTTGAAAAAAAATTTGAGTTTTTTTGTCATGTGAATTTCTCAATTATTATGAGTAATAGGTTAACTGTATTTGGTATATGGGTTCCTTGCAACGTCTACATGTCCGTCAGACAGGGTTAACATCAAACTAGCAGGTTTCATCTGACCTTGACCTCATTTTCATGGTTCATTGGTCAATGTTAAGTTTGGTCTGTTTTTCAAATACTAATAGCAATAGGTCAACTATAATTGGTGTATGGAATGATTGTAAGGTGTACATGACTGTCTATCCAGTATCATCTGACCTTGACCTCATTTCCATGGTTCATTGGTTAACATTAAGTTTTTGTGTTTTGGTCTGTTTTTTGATATCCATAAGCAATGGGTCAACTATATTTGGTGTATGGAATAATTGTAAGGTGTACATGTCTGTATGACAGATTTTATCTGACCTTGACCTCATTGTCATGGATCTTTAAGAATGATAAGTTTATGTGATACTTGTAGTAAAACCTTTGTCTTTAAGACTTTCAACATAAAATCAATGGTCAGGAAAACAGGCGAGACATTTCAGCTTGTGCACTGTTGTTTTGTTGAACATCTAAATTTGTGGCTCAACTATACCCATGAAATCCACGAAAATTTGAATCCCACGAATAAAAATGAATTCACAGTAGTTGGAAAATCCGACATTCTGGCACTATTTTCTTCTTATTGAATGTCTTTAAATTCTTTCATAAGTTTAGAAATTGCACTGCTGTGACTTGCTCATATGGACTATATCTTAGGATTTATCATGTCCTAGGCACCTTTATCATACAGAAGTAGAATCTGACACAAGCTAGGCTAAGTTAGAGAAGGTATGATGATTGTAATGATGCTTGTATTAGAATAGGATATTTAAGTAACATTTACAACAGCTGTTATAATGTAAATATAGAGCAGTAGTATGAAAAAGAGGTGGAAGATACTAAGGGGACAATCTTAAACCATAAAATCAAGAAAAACAGACAAAAAAAAAAACATGGAATAGGTATTTTTGAGAAAGGACAAAAATTGGAGACTTATTATTGCGATTTCAGGAAAATCTGAATACACTTATATGCATCAGATATCAGAATGTGAGTTCTTATTATTGTGATTATCACCTAGTTGTATTATCGCAATAATAAAAACCTCCCAATAATTTCTGAATTTACAGTATATAGAAAAAATGACTGAGCAACACACGCCCCGTCAAAAACAGAGAGTGATCTCAGATGCTCCAGAAGGCACATTTCTTGTTCATTATCCTAAACAATATTAGTTAAAAATTTTTGTTTTGACTATTCAAAATTGTTTTATTGTTGTAGTGAAACCAGAGTTTATTAAGTCGCCGTTGGACAAAACTGTAATCCTTGGCCTGTCTGTGGACATGGATTGTGAGGTCAGAGGTCATCCAACTCCAACAGTTTCTTGGCTGTTTAATGTAAGAATTAACATTATGAGAAAATATTACTAATAATTCAAGTCTGTATGTCTGTATGTCTGTCAGTCTCATGAAATTTTTCTAAAGAACTACAAACAAGAGCTTCTTAAAATTTGTTTTCAGGTTTTATGTGGGCATGCTTTACCGTGTGATGTGTTTTCAGATTCATAGCTCATCATCATCCTATTCAATGAATTCTTAAAGCAGAGGTTATATAATTGAGCAGTAGCTCATAGTTTTACTTGGTTGTGATGAAGTATTCTCAACTCAATTTTGATGATATTTGAAAATTGACAACCTGTAAACATATCTATTTCAGGGTATATATTTTTCATATATTTTTCAGGGTACTAACCTGCTTCCACCAGGTATTATTGTATCTAGTGATAATCATGGAATACATGTTGCCATAGTAACATGGCGCCATGTTGGATTGTATACCTGTGTAGCCTCTAACATTCTGGAAGCTGCCACCAGGGATGGGAGGTTAAGTGTGCATGGTATGATTTGTACTGCTCTGTAGAAATTTTATAATCTAGTTTTCTGTAGCCCTTGTACCTTGATTTTTTAGGATGTTTTATTCAATTTGATAAATTTAAGTGATTTACCTCTCCTTACAGTATTGTAATGATACATTATATTTAATTTTAGTCTCCAGTCATCAGCATAGTACATAGTTACATATTTGAATTGAATTAAGTTTGCAGGTTGTTTTTTTTTTTCAATAAAGTCTTTGTTGCAACCCAATTCTTTGGAAAGTGAAAGGAGTAAGGACATTACAACTTTTTTTTGTCCTGAAATGAATTATTATTGATTAAATGTTGTAGTTACAAAAACAAATGTAATATTATAATTATTATTATAGTGATATAGCCACAGTGATGACTGTTATTGTCTTCAAACTATGATTTTGAAACAAAGTTTAAAGACTTCTTTCTTTTTATATTTTGAAGTTATTTCAACTCAGAAATAATAAAATATATCACATTTACATACTTTTTTACCACATATAAGGTAAAGTTGCGTATCAGTCACTTTCCTTATAAAAACAATTAGAAAATTGTTTTTTTTCATAAATGTTTTAAACATATTCATCTTTATGAAAACATGGTAGCTTCATGTTGTGATCTTCCATGTTCAGATTTTTTTCATATTTATGCAAAACAAGGACATTGCCGTTTCTTGTCCCTTATCAATATTGCAGGGAAACATTTTTTCAGAAAAAAGCTTCCAACATTTTCTTCCCAATGAATGGATATAATCCAAGTAATGATGTTACTTGCAATAATAGTTCCCAATAGAATATCTATATATAGGTATCTGTTTGATTATTTTTCAAGACAGTTTTTGTCGCGCCTTGACAGAGTCAAAAAGCGAGACATAGGTATGCTGTTTCCAGTGTTGGTGGCGGCGGCAGCGTCAACAATGTATTAGTTTGTGATTAGGTCTAGTTTATGGTGAACCACAAGTGGTAGGTCAATGATATTTGGTATGCAGTTGTATTAGCATTGGCACATCTCATGTCCATGGAGAATATTTGGCCCCGCCCCCTCAGTCATGGTCTATTGACTTTGAAACTTTTGCTTAGTTTACATGTTTTAGTTTGTGATTAGATCAGTTTAAGATGAACTGCTAATGTTAAGTCAATGATATTTGGTATGCAAATGTATTGGCATTTGCAAGTATCATTTCCATAGAGATTATATAGCCCCACCCCCTCTTCATGGTTCATTGACTTTGAAACTTTTACATAGTTTACAAGTTAATGTTTGTGTTTAGGTTTGTTTAAAGGGAACAACTTATTATAAGTCAATGGTATTTGGTATGCAGTTGTATTAACATTGGCACATCTCATTTCCATAGAGATTGTTTAGCCATGTATCTTCAGTCATGGTTCATTGACTTTGAATATTTGCATAACTTACATGTTAAAGTATTGCTATTTTAATTTCAACATTTGCATTATCAAAATTACAAAAAGGCAAGACATATCTCTGTGATAACAGTTTATTAATACAGTAATTGCTTTTCTGAACAACAAATTTTTCATCATAAGATTTTGTTTCAGTTTTACCAAGAATACAAGCCATAAATGGAGATCCTGTAGTCTATCTGAACCAAGAGCTTGATTTAACTTGCACAGTTAATGGTATACCAAATCCAACAATAAAATGGTTCCACCAAGAAACAGCAGTTGTCCCATCACTGGATGGCAGAGTGACTATACCAGCACAAAACAAACTCTTTATTAAATATGCCAAAGTTTCAGATAAAGGTAGGTTCTAATTGTTGATTTTAAAGGTCTAATAATAAGTTATATCCTGAAACACAACAATTCTGGTTGAATAGAAATAAGAAGATATTGTATGAGTGCCAATGAGACAACGAATGTCTGTTTTTAAGTTTTTATCCCCCACCTACGATAGTAGAGGGGCATTTTGTTATTCGGTCTGTGCGTCTGTGCGTCCGTTCGTTCGTTCGTTCGTTCGTTCGTTCGTTCATCTGTTCGTCCGTCCTTCTGTCCCGCTTCAGGTTAAAGTTTTTGGTCAATGTAGTTTTTGATGAAGTTGAAGTCCAATCAACTTGAAACTTAGTATACATGTTCCCTATGTTATGATCTTTCTAATTTTAATGCCAGATTAGAGTTTTGACCCCAGTTTCACAGTCCACTGAACATAGAAAATGATAGTGTGAGTGGGGCATCCGTGTACTATGGGCACATTCTTGTTTTTCAATAATAAAAAGGGAAATTGATGTTAACATCATTGAAGCAGCAACCTAACAACATAAACAAAAATAAAACCATAAAATTTGTTGAATATTCATTGTTCATCATGCAATCCCAACATTTTGGTATATGTTTATGAAAAATAGTCCCAAGGTTGCTTAAAATTAGATTCTGAAATGTGAAATTGTTTGAATGTAAAAATAATAGTGTTGATTTTACCCTCATCTTACTAATTCGCTGACTGTTAGCCTTGTAACATCAGAATTTGTTTTTACATATGATAGGATGCTTGGCCTATATTTTTATTTCCTCATGTTATCTCGTCTCCTTTTTGTAAGAATAGATTACATCAAAATAGAATACTCTATACACAATAAAAAGAGCAAGAAACAGTACAATATTTGACAAATTTTCTGCTACTCTTGATGTAAATATTTAATAACCTAATTGTTAACCTCATTTGATATACTGCGTGCCATAAAACTTTAAGGTCATATTGCTCCTTGATAACGATAATCTATCTTTCCCAAAAAAATATTTTAGTTCTTATGAAGCTGTATTTTGTACCATAAGGCACTTTGGTGCAATACTGGCATCTTTGTAGCAGTCTGGTGATCAAAGCACTTTAGCTTGTGGCGATTATGATAGAAGTTTTGATTTGATACAGTTGTAGCCTGCTATATTTATTATATACTGGTTTTTATACGACCGCAAAAAATTTTTGCGGTCGTATATTGGTATGACGTTGTCGTCATCGTCGTTGTCGTCGTCGTCGTCCGAAGACACATTGGTTTTCGCACTCTAACTTCAGTTTAAGTGAATGGATCTCTTTGAAATTTTACCATAAGGTTCAATACCACAAAAGGAAGGTGGGGATTGATTTTGGGGGTTATGGTACCAACAGTTAAGGAATTAGGGGCCAAAAAGGGGCCAAAAATAAGCATTTTCTAGTTTCCAGACAATAACTGTGGAACGGTGTATGGATCTCTCTGAAATTATACTACAAGTTTCCATACCGCAAAGGGATGGTTAGGATTTGCTTTGGGGGGTTATGGCTCAAACCGTTTAGGAATTAGGGGCAAAAAAGGGGAAAAACAAGGTTGTCCTGGTTAATGGACAAATACTTTAGTACAAAACATAATTTAAAGCAGTGTAAGGGAGATAAATCAAATACATCATTGAAATTATCTCCCTTACACTGCTTTTAAATTATGTATTAAGTAATTGTTAATGAACAATTAAGATAATTTAAAACAGTGTAAGGGAGGTAATCCAAATACAATGTTTTGGTTACTTCCCTTACACTGCTTTTAAATTATGTTTAAAGAAATGCATATTTATAAAGGAAGACCAGTAAAAATATCTGCAAATGTTGCATCTTTTTTTAAAAAAAAAATCCATATGAAAGATTTGACACTATATTTTAAATTCTATTATAAAATAGATTAAGTTAGCACTATGGTAAATTTAAATGGGTAGTTATGGTTGCAAACTCCATTGGAAATATGAAATGAGATTATGACCATATCTTGAGGGAAAGAATTTTTTGGGGAAAAAAAGGGGGGGGGGAAGAAATTGTGGGGGGTCAATTTTTTCTCATTTCAGATTTCAGAAATTAAAAAGAATTATTCTTCAAATATTGTTTTTTTTTTAACTTTCAAATATTGAAAAATTTCAAGAAGTAATCTTTAATTGCACAGTATGGTGCATTGGATTTGTAAAATCTTTGACCACATTTTTTTATTTGTTATGCCGAATCTAACCGTGTATTTAGATTTTTAATTTTGGGTCCAGTTTTCAAATTGGTCTACATTAAGGTCCTAAGGGTCCAAAATTAAACTTTGTTTGATTTTAACAAAAATTGAATATATGGGGTTCTTTGATATGCTGAATCTAAACATGTATTTAGATTTTTGATTTTTGGCCCAGTTTTCAAGTTGGTCCAAATTGGGGTCCAAAATTAAACTTTGTTTGATTTCAACAAAAATTGAATATATGGGGTTCTTTGATATGCTGAATCTAACCATGTATTTAGATTTTTTACTTGTGGACCCTGCTATCAAATTGGTTCATATTGAGGTCAAAAGGGTCCAAAATTAAACTTCATTTGATTTCATCAAAAATTAAGTTATTGAGGTTCTTTGAAATGCCAAATCTAACCGTGTATTTAGATTTTTAATTTTGGGTCCTGTTTTTTAAATTGGTCTACATTAAGGTCCAAAGGGTCCAAAATTTAACTTAGTTTGATTTTAACAAAAATTGAATTCTTGGGGTTCTTTGATATGCTGAATCTAAACATGTGTTTAGATTTTTTGATATGGGCCCAGTTTTCAAGTTGGTCCAAGTTGGGGTCCAAAATTAAACTTTGTTTGATTTCAACAAAAATTGAATATATGGGGTTCTTTGATATGCTGAATCTAAACATGTATTTAGATTTTAGATTTTTGGCCCAGTTTTCAAGTTGGTCCAAATTGGGGTCCAAAATTAAACTTTGTTTGATTTCAACAAAAATTGAATATATGGGGTTCTTTGATATGCTGAATCTAACCATGTATTTAGATTTTTTATTTGTGGGCCGCTATCAAATTGGTTCATATTGGGTTAAAAGGGTCCAAAATTAAACTTTGTTTGATTTCATCAAAAATTGAATTATTAGGGTTCTTTGATATGCCAAATCTAACCGTGTTTTTAGATTTTTAATTTATGGTCCCGTTTTTTAAATTGGTCTACATTAAGGTCCAAAGGGTCCAAAATTAAACTTAGTTTGATTTTAACAAAAATTGAATTCTTGGGGTTCTTTGATATGCTGAATCTAAACATGTGTTTAGATTTTTGATTATGGGCCCAGTTTTCAAGTTGGTTCAAGTTGGGGTCCAAAATTAAACTTTTTTTGATTTCAACAAGAATTGAATATATGGGGTACTTTGATATGCTGAATCTAACCATGATTTTAGATTTTTTATTTGTGGGCCCCGCTATCAAATTAGTTCATATTGAGGTCAAAAGGGTCCAAAATTAAACTTTGTTTGATTTCATCAAAAATTGAATTATTGGGGTTCTTTTATATTCCAAATCTAACCGTGTATTTAGATATTTAATTTTGGGTCCCGTTTTTATTTAAATTGGTCTACATTAAGGTCTAAAGGGTCCAAAATTAAACTTAGTTTGATTTTAACAAGAATTGAATTCTTGGGGTTCTTTGATATGCTGAATCTAAACATGTGTTTAGATTTTTGATTATGGGCCCAGTTTTCAAGTTGGTCCAAAGGGTCCAAAATTAAACTTTGTTTGATTTCAACAAAAATTGAATATATGGGGTTCTTTGATATGCTGAATCTAACCATGTATTTAGATTTTTTATTTGTGGGCCGCTATCAAATTGGTTCATATTGAGGTCAAAAGGGTCCAAAATTAAACTTTGTTTGATTTCATCAAAAATTGAATTATTAGGGTTCTTTGATATGCCAAATCTAACCGTGTTTTTAGATTTTTAATTTATGGTCCCGTTTTTTAAATTGGTCTACATTAAGGTCCAAAGGGTCCAAAATTAAACTTAGTTTGATTTTAACAAAAATTGAATTCTTGGGGTTCTTTGATATGCTGAATCTAAACATGTGTTTAGATTTTTGATTATGGGCCCAGTTTTCAAGTTGGTCCAAGTTGGGGTCCAAACTAAACTTTTTTTGATTTCAACAAGAATTGAATATATGGGGTACTTTGATATGCTGAATCTAACCATGATTTTAGATTTTTTATTTGTGGGCCCCGCTATCAAATTAGTTCATATTGAGGTCAAAAGGGTCCAAAATTAAACTTTGTTTGATTTCATCAAAAATTGAATTATTGGGGTTCTTTTATATTCCAAATCTAACCGTGTATTTAGATATTTAATTTTGGGTCCTGTTTTTATTTAAATTGGTCTACATTAAGGTCTAAAGGGTCCAAAATTAAACTTAGTTTGATTTTAACAAGAATTGAATTCTTGGGGTTCTTTGATATGCTGAATCTAAACATGTGTTTAGATTTTTGATTATGGGCCCAGTTTTCAAGTTGGTCCAAAGGGTCCAAAATTAAACTTTGTTTGATTTCAACAAAAATTGAATATATGGGGTTCTTTGATATGCTGAATCTAACCATGTATTTAGATTTTTTATTTGTGGGCCGCTATCAAATTGGTTCATATTGAGGTCAAAAGGGTCCAAAATTAAACTTTGTTTGATTTCATCAAAAATTGAATTATTAGGGTTCTTTGATATGCCAAATCTAACCGTGTTTTTAGATTTTTAATTTATGGTCCCGTTTTTTAAATTGGTCTACATTAAGGTCCAAAGGGTCCAAAATTAAACTTAGTTTGATTTTAACAAAAATTGAATTCTTGGGGTTCTTTGATATGCTGAATCTAAACATGTGTTTAGATTTTTGATTATGGGCCCAGTTTTCAAGTTGGTCCAAGTTGGGGTCCAAACTAAACTTTTTTTGATTTCAACAAAAATTGAATATATGGGGTACTTTGATATGCTGAATCTAACCATGATTTTAGATTTTTTATTTGTGGGCCCCGCTATCAAATTAGTTCATATTGAGGTCAAAAGGGTCCAAAATTAAACTTTGTTTGATTTCATCAAAAATTGAATTATTGGGGTTCTTTTATATTCCAAATCTAACCGTGTATTTAGATATTTAATTTTGGGTCCCGTTTTTATTTAAATTGGTCTACATTAAGGTCCAAAGGGTCCAAAATTAAACTTAGTTTGATTTTAACAAAAATTGAATTCTTGGGGTTCTTTGATATGCTGAATCTAAACATGTGTTTAGATTTTTGATTATGGGCCCAGTTTTCAAGTTGGTCCAAAGGGTCCAAAATTAAACTTTGTTTGATTTCAACAAAAATTGAATATATGGGGTTCTTTGATATGCTGAATCTAACAATGTATTTTGATTTTGGACATTGGACTATAATAGGTAAATTAAAAAAATTCAAGTTCTTAGACCACATTCTTTCTGTGTCAGAAACCTATGCTGTGTCAAATATTTAATCACAATCCAAATTCAGAGCTGTATCAAGCTTGAATGTTGTGTCCATACTTGCCCCAACTGTTCAGGGTTCGACCTCTGTGGTCGTATCAAGCTGCGCCCAGCGAAGCATTTTATTGTAGAAATGTGTCAACAACTGAAAGTGTCTGTGGTTTATGTAATCAATATGAAATCATATGCAATTCGGAAAGAAGACTTGTCATCAAACAAGCAAACTTCCGTGAAGGTTACTTATGTGTTGTTGGCAACTCAATTATGCATGATGTATATGTTTACTCTAGGTGAATATAAATGTGTGGCAGAAAACCTTGCTGGGAAAACTGAATTTCCAATCACAGTTTCAGTTATAGGTGAGTATTTGTATACCCCACTTTGAGGGGTCATCCATACTTAAAAACCATTTTCCAAAGTATGTACTGCCTCAGTGAGCTAGTGACTTTTGAGTGAGGGAGGACATGGGTTTGAAAACCTAACCAGGTTATAACAAAGACGTTAAACTTGGTATTTGCTGCTTCTCCAATAAGCATGCAGCATGATGGAGTAAGAGTAAAGACTGGTTGGTTGAAGAATGTGTTTGTCTCGTACATAGCAGGGTTAATATTCTTATCCCATTAACATGATCTTGACCTGAAGATGCATTTAATTTGCCATTGGATGTTAAACAGCCATCCATCATAATTATCAAAAGCATGCAAAGCTATGGGGGAGGGGGTACATTCATAGACAATTTTTGTGTAGGCTTTTTTTTACCTCTGAAATTTTGTTGTTTTTGCCAAATATAGTTTTATTTTATTGAAAATGGTTGATGCACACTTTTTTAGGGAGGGATGGGACTTGAGAAACATACAGTCCTTTTTGGATGCATTGGAAAACAGTTGAAAATTATTAATAACCCAATTTTCTTTCAGATTTTATTTTCGTTTAGTAGCATAGTGTTGATAAAACATTGGTCAATATTGACCTTGAAATACTTCTTTTTTGTAGTTCCTGACTAATACCCCTTGATGACATGGTCAGTTGGTTAATTTTGGTTAATTTGAGGTTTCCTTTTAATATCATGAGTTGACTTTTGACTAGATTATTTGAAATGAATATTGTTGTAGGAACAATTAAACACAGGGCAAGTAAATTTAAAATGTGCATTATTTTCACTTTTCTTAGCAGTGTAGTTTCAACATATTTTATTTTCAAATTAGCACAGAAAGGATTAGACACAAGTTAGTCCAACGTATCTTCTATCCTGATTTATTCTGATATATTAATTGATCAAATTTTTTAATTTGTTATATTACAGAGTCTCCTATTCCACCAGTGTTGACAAAAGCTGTGTCCTTCACTTCAACATCTGTGACCTTGACATGGTCACCTTCAACACAGAAACCAAACACACCACTCTCTCAGTACATCATATATTACAAAAAAGAGTAAGTCAATTATACAGTTGAATAAACATCGAATGTTCAACAGTGTGTTTCACTGGCCTTAGTTGAGGTACTAATTGATTGAAATTAATTCAAGTATCTTGTATAAACAAAGTAAATGTTTCAAGTATTTGCCATGAAGATTTTGATCAATGATACATTCAGAGGGCAAAATACAGTCTTCATTAATAGTTAAGTACTGTGAAAAAATTTGTGGGGTAGTTTTGTTGGAATGAACTGTTAGAATTGATAATAATGGGCATTGCATAATTTGCTCCCCATAGGGTGATAAATCACCTTAATTTCTTATCAAAGTGACCTAAATATTCAACACTTTACCTGTCAAGTGTGGTAGAATGGAAGCATCTATTGACCTGATTATATTTACAAAACAAGTGCTACAATGTTGATGTCTTTTCACTGCTCTGCTGTTTGAAGATAGTTTGAATTTCTGTTATGCTCTTTTAAGCATGAAATTTTTCATCAGTGTCTAAATGGCTCACGGTTTCAGATATTGTGCTGAGAGCAAGTCAACAGAAAACATGTTTAGCATAGGTGAATAACAACTCCTTGGTTCTGTGGTAATGAAAATACTTTTATAGGTATTGTTGATTAAACTTTTACTATATATGTATCCTTTGTATACTTTCAGAATAGATGTTGATTACAAAAGATTACCAATTACAGCAGGCAGTACAGATGCACAGATAGAAGTTGTTGGTTTATCTCCAGGAACCGTGTATATGTTTGTAGTGTCTGGTGATAATCCAGCAGGGGAAGGCAGTCTTAGTAATGTGTTATCTGCTAAAACTATGGACTCTGGTAAAATAAAATTATATTTTTCATTTTGTTTGTCCTCTTTAAATATTGAAGGGGAAACTTTAATTTAGTGCAACAGATTTGATAATATGATCAGAATTATTTGAATAAAAATAGGATAATGTTTTGAGGTTTCCTACTGACCGCTTCAAAATGAAGGTATTTTTAAACACTCTCGTCCATGGTTAATTCTTCTCTATCACTTGAATTATAAAAAAGCAGAAAATAATAAAAAAAAAAAGTAAACATCCATTGACAACATTCCTTACTTTTGGACAGTCTCCAGAAATATCTGATGAAGTAAAACCCCTACAGTATTTTCAATCATTTTGATTTTTATACACCTTTTACAGGTCCATCAGCACCAAGAAATTTGAAAATATTGTTTTCAAACAGCTCAACTGTGCAGTTAGAATGGGAAATTCCTGCTAAAACAAATGGCCAGATTAGAAAATACCAAGTCTGGTATAAGATAAAGGGAGATAACACTGGTAAGTAATTTGAAAACCAGTTCTCATACACAGGTTAAAGGGTGATAACTTCCTCAACTTTTTAAGATGAGTTAATTTCTTGAATTTTTTTACTATGTCAACCATTCCCGTGTATTTGTTTATTTTTAGCTCACCTGACCCAAAAGGGTCAAGTGAGCTGTCGTCCGTAAACTTTTACAAAAATCTTTTCCTCTGAAACTACTGGGCCAAATTAAACCAAACTTGGCCTAAAACATCCTGAGGGTATCTAGTTTAAAAAATGTATCCGATGGCCCCGCCCATCAACAAAGATGGCCACCATGGCTAAAAATAGAACATGGGGTAAAATGCAGTTTTTTTTGCTTATATCTCTGAAACTAAAGCATTTAGAGCAAATCTGATGGGGTGGGCAGGGGGAGGGGGGGTAAAAATGCTCATCAGGTCAAGATCTGTCTGTCCTGAAATTTTCAGACAAATCAGACAACCGGTTGTTGGGTTGCTGCCCCTGAATTGGTAATTTTAAGGAAATTTTGCAGTTTTTTGGTTATTATCTTGAATATTATAATAGATAGAGATACACTGTAAACAGCAAAAATGTGCAGCAAAGTAAGATCTACAAATAAGTCAAACATAACCAAAATTGTCATTGACCCCTGAAGGAGTTATTGCCCTTTAAAGTCAATTTTTCACTATTTTTTTGTAAATTGTTTTAATCTTTTACAAAAATCTTCTTCTGAAATTACTGGGCCAAGTTAAATCATACTTGGCCTAAATCATCCTTGAGTTTAAAAAATGTTTACGATGACCGCGCCCACCTACCAAGATGGCCACCATGGATAAAAATTGAACATAGAGGTAAAATGCAGTTTTTGGCTTATATCTCTAAAACTAGAGCATTTGGTTTACTTTTACAAATTGTGACTTGGATGGAGAGTTGTCTCATTGGCACTCGTACCACATCTTCTTATATCCATTTAGAGCAAATCTAACAGGGATAAAATGTTCATCAGGTCAACATGACCAAAATTGTCTATTGACCCCTTAAGGAGTTATTGCCCTTTAAAGACAATTTTTCACTATTTTTTCGTAAATGTTTTTAATCTTTTACAAAAATCTTCTCATCTTAATTTACTTGGTCAAATGGAATTAATGTCAGCCACAATTATTTTTAGAGTATCTTGATTGAAAAATGTATCCGATGAACCTGCCCTACAACCAACATGGTCCCCATTGGTAAAAATAGAACATAGGGGTTTACTATAGAAGTCTATGGGAAAAATATAAAAAAAAATTCAAATGGACACAACTTGAAAATTAATTTAAAAATGATAAGGGGTCTTAAGTAACTATTGTAAGACTACAATGGGATGACTTGACTTTTTTCCAGGGGGTGCAAATTTTTCTGGGAGTTGGGTTGGGGGGGGGGGGGTGTTAATAATTTCTCCTTGATATGTTCCATTTTCAGAATTATTCAGTGTTACTTTTTCTATAAACCATTATTATATCTTTTCTTTCAGCATACTTATATTGGGTGAATGCCCCCCAGACCCGGCGGGTTAGTCGGGTCAGGGGAACCCCTGCCGAAATTTTTTTTGAAGGGTGTTCCATAAAAACATTTTAATAAAGGCATTTTCAGCTTTATACAGGCCCTGGGTGAAATAAATTTTGGAGCAGAGTAAAGGAAATTTTTAATTTTTTTTGTTAATTATCTTGAATATCATTATAGATTGAGATATACTGTAAACAGCAAAAATATCAAGCAAAGAAAGATCTACAAATAAGTTAACATGACCAATTGGCAATTGACATCTTATTGAAGTTATTGTCCTTTAAAGTTATTTTCTGTGATTTATTGGTAATTTTTGTAAATATTTTCAAAAATCTTCTGCTTTTAATTCAAAGGACTTTGATAATCCTTAATGAGACAACCTACACACATGGTTTCCTGACATATTGGATTTTTATAAAAATCTTTTGATTATTGACAGGAGAGAAAAAGAATCAAACACCAATAAAAATGCAAGACTCTGACATCTCAGACTCTGTAGTAAGAATTCCTATTGTCTCTGACTTTGACAAGCTTCGTTGGAGATTGGAAATCTAACCCTGTGATGTCTGAGATTTCCCATTATTGCAATTGTTTACGATATAGATTCATAATTACATGCTGGTTTTATGTTTTAGAGATTATGTCCCTTGTTACAACTAATGATATCAACAAACCATCAGTTGCCATGACAATAAGTAACCTTGAGCCTTTCACTCTGTATGAGTTCAAGGTCAGGGGTGCAACAGAAGAAAGTGGTGAAGATATGTGGGGAGAATTATCAAACTATGTTGATGTCAAAACAGCAGCTTCAGGTTGGTGTTTCTTATATTTACTGAACAATGAAAAGTCACAATTAATCTATATTTCATCCCATAGATGAAGAAGAAATATAAATGTGAATAAATCATATTTGTAACATGATATTAAAAGGATAGTCTGAAGATCACTAAATATATATATATATATGTCCATGGCCCTGTCCTGACCAATTTATCTTTTTGATGAAATTATTACTGATTGGTAAAAAAACCATATCATATGGTGAGACTTGGTTTTGTCTTGTCCATCTGTTTGATATGTAAACATTTCCAAACACAAAATATTCTTAAGATTGAACAGAAATGGAAGAAAGTCCGACACAATCATTCATTACATGCATATTTTACACTACTACTATGGATTCATTTATTTCCATGGATACCAATTTTTGTGAACTGAGGAAAACTTGTATTTTTATGGATATTTAATTTCCTGGATTTGCAAATTGTTCAAAACAAAGTAATGAAATATAAATGTCAGGAAGAGCAAAATAACTTAAAAGTATACAAAAATTGATAGCAGGGTTCACCAGAAATGTTTGACACCACAGCAAACTTCAACCAGCAAGCACTAATTTGCCCAAATGGACTAAGACAACCAATATAGAACAGCATATGGTCCAGATGGCATTCTTAGAACCAGTTTGATTTTTATTATTCCTCGTATAACACTCCTTGGAATATTTGATTTACTGGTTCCAATTTTGTTAATTAAAATCTCAAGTTAAAAAAAGGTAATTAAAGTGAATTTTGATACAGGTAAGTGAATGAAGAATAAGCCTGGTGGCTTTAAGATTTAAAGAAAATTATATTTTTTTCAGTTCCAAGTTTAGTTCCACAGATCACAAAAATACAGACATTATCATCAACTGCTATTCAAGTAGGATGGCAGGTATGTAGAAAAAAGTCTTTAACATGTCACACAGAAACAAGTCTTTAACATAGGCTGTCACACAGAAACAAGCCTTTAACATAGGCTGTCACACAGAAACATTAGTCTTTAACATAGGCTGTCACACAGAAACAAGTCTTTAACATAGGCTGTCACACGGAAACAAGTCTTTAACATAGGCTGTCACACAGAAACAAGTCTTTAACTTAGGCTGTCACACAGAATCAAGTCTTTAACATAGGCTGTCACACAGAAACAAGTCTTTAACATAGGCTGTCACACAGAAACAAGTCTTTAACTTAGGCTGTCACACAGAAAAATGGTTCCATGTTTTAGCTGAAATAATTTCATCTTCTTAAAGAATCCCTGAATCTGATTTTTTGTAAATGAGCTGAGATAAGCTTAGATTAGGCTTAGATTAAGGTACCCTACTCTACTAGATCCCCTGTTAATTGACTGCATATATTTAAAGATATACATTATAATATAACATTATTACATTAAACCTGACCACATTTTGATAAGCTGTAAATTCAGAAAATCATTGTTTTTTATTAATGCGAATAATGTGACTGGGTGAGATTCGCAATAATAAGAACTTGCATTCTGATATCAGAGACATTTATCCGTATGCACTTTTTCCTTAAATCGCAATAATTAATCTTGCATTCTTGTCCACTCTTCCAAAATCGCAATAATAAATGCACGCAATAATTTATGAATTTACAGTAAGTAATGAATTTTTTCACAGAAAAAGTTTGAATATATATTCTTTCAGGACCCTTCAATGGATACATGGAATGGTCAGAGTTTGAAGTACCGTGTATACTCTACTGATTTAAATTTTACCTCTGCAACAAATCAGATTACCACAACACATTTTTCTATCAATATCACATCCTTGTCACCATGGAGATGGTATTCTTTTGTCTTGGAGATTGGAAATGAAGCTGGTTGGGGAGATAGAAGCAATGCTGTTATTTCAAATACATTTCCAGCAGGTATTATCATTTTGGTTTTTGCAGTTTGAAAAGATCAGCTCAAGTGATGTTATTTCATCTAAAAACTAATGTTTACAGAATCCAATGCTTTCTTCAATAATCTTGGCTCATCATTTTTGAGTAACCTACCTAAATGATTTGTTAAGAAATGTGTTCTTTCCCTGAGTATGCATAAAATAATTTACCATTATAAATAAGGAGATGTGGTCTGATTTGATAATAGACTTGTGAAATTTCAGATACAGATGTAAGCAATAGAAAAAATGTGTGCTTTCAATTTCAATTAATGTGAAAAATTGATCTTACTGAAAAATATATTATTTTCAGCACCCACAGCTCCTCCAGTGATTTTTAGTATACAAGCATCAGATAAAGACGTTGAATTAAAATTTCAGGTAAAAATAATATTATGTTATTTATTTAAGGGACATACCGTAGAAAGGCTTGTATAGTCCGCGGTTTTATTCTCCAAAATTGGACCTTCCAGACGGGGTGCGGACTATAGAGTACATTAAGCAAGAAATAAGAGAAAAATTTCAATTTCGCGGGCGAGGTGGTTTGTTTACGTTTGTTATTTATATTGTAGAGGGCGCTCTTATCATTTTTCAAACTAATAATTTTAACTCATCCATATTAATAAGTTATTTCTATTCAATATCAAATTAATACTGATAAATATAAAAACTAAACCTTTCATTACAAATTTCTCGTTTCTTTTCAATGCATTGGTTGAAATAAACTGGTATCTGCTTGATTGAAACGATACAAACATAGTGAAAAAGACAACTGTAAACCAGCTTAGAATTTGTAAACTACAAAACGTAATCGGTCATTGTTCGTTCCGTTTTGGTGTTTCATACTGACTAATAGGGTTTGTATTAGCTTAAGACCCTTCAAACATTAATGTGATAGATATATTAAAGACTGTTTTACAAAAGGATGGAACTGTTTTACTTTCAAAGTCGTATTATAGTGATATCTGTTATGTACGGATTTCGACTCTCACCGGTTAATTTCTTCTTTTACACGTGCTTTTTAAACTTCCTGTTTAAACATACACAAGTTTCTAAATTGTTTTTTAAGTGAATTAAACTTATTTTAACAATCATGAAGCGTTCTAGAATCATTTACAAGCAGTTTCAGCTTCTGTTTGATGATGGAAAACAGGGTTTTCCAAGAAAATACCGCAAACGACCGCACAGGATTTGAAATTACCGGAGTTTCATTAGACCTTTCCTAACAGTTACAAAAAGTTTTTTTACCTAAAATTTCGTGGGGAGAAGGGGGTGCGGACTATGTACCACTGCGAACTATACAAGCCTTTCTACGGTATATAAAAATATTGATAGTTGGAGCTGAGACTACTTGATTATAGTAGTCTCAGGTTGGTGTTGAAAAATGATTTTTTAACATTTTAATTTAAATCTTGAGGGGATATAGTAACACCACCATCTGTCCTTCTGTGTGTTACAGCATGTGTAAATATGTCTTTAACACTCTTGTAGGAATTATTTTGGTCTGGTATATTATCTACTCCTAACATTGTCAACTGTGTGACAGTGAAAAGTGATTGAACCTTATTTAGTTTCAAGGTCAAAGGTCAACATAATGAAAAACCTAAAGGTACCATAGAGCTCCAGTCCTGTCCTCAGTCTTTATCAGACACCATCCTATGCATGGACATAATTAGTTTTCAAGTATAAAGGTCATAGATTGGAGTCACAATATATACAGTTTAACTTCAATCTTTATCCAGTCTTCATCAAAAATAAAATGCTTGGAAATAAAATTCTATTTAATTTCAAGATCAGAGGGCCTAGCTCATGTCACAGTATGACAGGGAACATTTAAACTTGTTTGTATGGTATATCTCAAGTCATGAATATAATTTTTGTTAAACATTGTCCAATGATTATTCATGAGGAGAGCTTGAATTATATTTAATGTAGGAGTCAATGGCAAAGGTCAAGGATACATGTAAGAAATATGGAAAAACATTTCCGATGGACTTTCTAATGGGAAGAGGTTTGCTTTAGTAAAAAAGTATGCTTTAAATTTTATTTATTATATTCAGTTGATATGAGTTATATTATTTGATCTGTTACTCTATACAGCAGATCTTTACCAATCTTGGTACACACATATTTCTACAAGGGAGATAAACCTAATTTTAAAGCAGACAAATTCAAAAATTTGTAATCAAGTTAAAATTTTATGAAATATTTATACTTACCAGTCAGAAACATACTTTTGGATTATCTTTCTTTACTACGTTCATAACTCGCAAACACACAGATGATCTTGATTCAAACATTAACTAACCCAGATCATCCGTGTGGTTCATGCTTCAGTTTATCGGCGTGTACAAAACACCCGCACTGAAATTAAAGCATGGGGTGGCGGTGGGAATATTGACTGGTAAGTATAAATATTTCATAAAATTTTAACTTGATTATAAATTTTTGAATTTTATTTCAATTATTTATACTTACCAGTCAGAAACATACTTTTGGATAGATTCCAAAGCAGTCCTTCTACTGAACTGGAGGCATATGCTGTATAAATTTCTGTCATCTAAATTGCACCTTATGTACAAATGTCTATATATAACACATCAATAGTTCAACACAAAATAATGTTCATCATGAAATCATCATATTTAAAATACTTCCACCAATAACAAATTCTCCAACGCAACTCGCCGAAAAATTTAACATATTTACAAATTGTCTAATACATTAACTGACAAATCTCTCAGATAGAATTTTCCAAATGTGGACTCTGAACTCCAATCAGCTGCTTCTAAAATAGAATTTATAGATGCACCTTTGTATAAAGCCCAAGAGGGTCCAACTGCTCTAGTTGAATGTGCCTTGATATTTTTCAATGAAGAATCAGGATACGCTAATTTAATCACTTGAAAGATCCATTTAGAAATAGTTTGTGATGTTACAGGCTTATGCGGTTCACATGTTGAAAGGAATAGTTTTCCCTGTTGGTCTTTATCTAAACTACTTCTAAATTCCTTTGTTCTTTCTAAATATTGTAACAGACATGTAACAGGATCTAACTTTTTATTGTCTGTGAATGCAGGAACAACAATTTTTGAATTTCTATGATTTTGTCGATCCTGCTTTGCCAAACCACTTCTAATAAATGTAATGCCTTTTTGTTGTATCCTCATTAAGGAATGGTTCACTCTGAGAGACTACAAATCGCTAGATCTCCTAAAAGTAGTAATAGAGATTAGAAAAACAGTTTTAAATGTCAAATGTTTCAAATCAATATTTTCAATAGGTTCAAAAGGTTCTTTCTGCAATAAGGTTAAAACCAACTGCAAATCCCATTCCGGTAATAATTTTGTGGTAGGCGGTCTAGAATTAAAAACCCCTTTTATAAGTCTTGTAATATATGGATGTTGATCTACTGCAGTATTATCAACTTGAGGTAAAACATTGGAAAGCATAGACCTGTAGCCTGCAATAGTCCTATATTGCAATCCATTTTCAAACAGATAGGCTAAAAAATCTGCTACCTGATTTAAAGTTGCATTATGGGGATTAATTTCCCTTGTACTACACCAGCTACAGTACTTCTTGAATTTTGCACTATAGTCTTTCTGAGTTCCTTTCCTCCATGAAGCTGACAGTAAATTTCTAGCTTCTTTAGAAAAGCCCTCTGCTTGGAAAGATCTGTTGATAGAAGCCAAGCAGTCAGACTGAATACCCCCGGGTCCGGATGAAAAACTTGGGACCTCGGTTGACAGAGAAGGTCTGATTGTATCGGGAGACTGACTGGGTAATCTATCAATAGTTGAAGTAATTCTGGGTACCAGTGTCTCCTGGGCCACAAAGGAGCTATCAGGAGAATCTGACACTGGAACTGCCTCATATATTGCAATATCTTGGGTATCAGGCAGATTGGGGGGTATGCGTAGGCATACATTTTCTCCCAAGATATTGTCAGGGCATCCAAGGCAAAAGCTTGAGGATGTGGAATCCATGAGCAAAACACCTTCGTCTGACGGTTCTCTGCCGAGGCAAATAAATCCATCAGAGGTTGGTCCCACAAGAGAAAAAGTTTCTGTACAATTTGAGTGTTCAGTGACCACTCTGTGTGCAGAATTTTTTTCCTGCTCAGGTAATCTGCAATTATGTTTTTCTTTCCCATTATGTGAGCTGCTTTCAGGGTTATATTGGATTGAATTGCTAGAGTCCAAAGTTCCCAGGTTTTGTAACACAACTGAGGTGATTTGGTCCCCCCTTGTTTGTTGATGTACTGGACCACAGTTGTGTTGTCTGATCTTATCTGTACAGATTTCCCTATCAGATATTTTAGAAAATGTTTGACTGTAAGCACTACTGCTTCCAATTCCAAGTAATTTATGTGTTTCTTGCTCTCTGAAACAGACCATTCCCCTTGAAATTTTTTTTTGTCCATTTCACCCCATAACCTGCTTTTGAAGCATCTGTAGTTATGGTTATACAAGTCTGTTGAGGTTGCAAAGAGCAGCCTTTCAGCATGTTCGCTGAATTCAACCACCAAATTAGACGAGATTTGAGATGTTGTGTCACTGGGACTAATGTTTTGAACTCTTGACATGCTGGTCTCCAAAAAGAGAGAAGATGGAGTTGAATTGGTCTCATGTACAAACGAGCATTTGGAATTAGTTCTATACATGAGGCCATTATCCCCAGAAGATGAAGAAAATCTGAAGCTGTCATTTGGATTTCTTTCATTATTTTTTGAATGGCTAGATTCAACTTGTCTATTCGTTCCTGTGTTGGGAATATTAACCCTTTTTCCAGGTCAAAAAGTGCCCCTAAATAAATCAATTTCTGACTCGGAACTAGTTTGGATTTTTCTTTGTTCACTATGAACCCTAGCGATACCAAGAGATTGAGACATTCTGTTGATCTAGGCATAGATGTGCTTTTTGTTGATTTATAATTAACCAATCGTCCAGATATACTACTAATCTTATATTTTTCGTTCTCAAGTAGGCTGCCACTACGGACACTATTTTTGTAAAGACTCGTGGGGCAGATGTTGGACCGAAGCACAGAGCTTTGAATTGATATGCTTGATTTTGAAGGTAAAATCTTAGATATTGGCAATGACTTGGAAATATTGGGCCATGTAGATATGCATCGCTTAGGTCGAGTGTTATGGCCCAATCTCCTGGTTTTACTATATTCAAGACTTTGGTCAGTGAATCCATCTTGAAATGTTTTTTCTGAAGATACCCGTTGAGAGGTCTCAGATTTATGACTGGTCTCTTCTTCCCATTTTTTTGGGGGACCAGAAAAAATGTGCTGTAAAAACCTGATTGATTTTGTTCTCTCTGAACCTGTTCTATTGCACCTTTTTCTATTAAAATATTTACTTCTTGAAGTAAAATTTCCATATTTTTTTGAGATACTATTGTTTGTTTTATTCCCTGCCAAAATGGTTTCTTTATGAACTCTAATTTGTAACCTTTTTCTATTACAGACAAAACCCATTGGTCGTTTGTTATCTTTTTCCAATTTTCTAGAAAAAATCTGAGACGACCCCCTACTGGTATCTTGTCTTGATTTTGAAATAAAATTACCTGTATCTCTGAGTCAGCTGGACTGTTTCTTGGGGATACGAAAAGAACCCCAGGAACCTGTACCACTGTTTGATGTCTTGGCATCTTTGTCTTCCTTGTCTTTATTTCCAAAGGCACCTCTCTGTAAAGACTTATTAGACGAATTTATAAAAGACTGTCTATTAGTATTAAAAGACGGTTTCTTATAATTATTATTGTAATTATTATAAGTTTAGTTTCCTGCAAACTTTGATTGTTTATTCGACCAACTATCACGACTATCATAGTCCAACTTTCTTTTGTTGGTTTTGTGAAATTCGGGTAACAAATCTTCCAATTGTTCCCTTTGCTCTTTCCTTTTCTCAAGTTGTTTTTCCAGACCTTGTCCAAAAACACCATCGTCAGAAAGCGGTAAATAAAGTACCTTAGCTTGAATGTCATTTAAATTATTTATGCCTGCATCTGTTGCAGCACATTTCCTTCTTATCATATGATGAAAGGCTCCAGCTCTACCCATTTGGTCGAGAGATTTGGTTGACATAGCATATAAATATTTAACTAATTGACAATTTTCCTAACTAGCATTGTCATTTTCTAAATTACCCAACAAAGTGCCCAAAGCTTGTTGCATATACGAAATAGAAATTATTCCCATTCTGGAGGCTACCTGTCCAGAATAGGATAGCTTCTCAATTTGTTTCACAGGTTGAGAAAATAATTGTTTTTGCCTGTCCCAAGATTTCACAGTTTTATTTGTATGCACACGTTTAATCATAGGTTCTAGCATATCATCTAAACTTGGCACTTGTAACACTGGTAAAGATTTCTCATGTACAGGAAAACATGATCTATATTCATCTTTATAAGCAGACAAATGTTCAGGATGTTGAGTTCTCCAAGAGTAAGATAAAATCTTAACTTGTGAATCATCTAATATTAAACCTACTGACTGGTCACTATTGTCACCTGGTAAATCATCCTTAAAAATTTTAGCTAGTCTATCAACTTTATTGTTGCATGTAGTGTTAATGTTACCTGAAGAATTTTCATCAACAGTAGAAATATTCTGTACACTTGAATTAAAGTATTTACTAAACCTGTCAGTTTTATTAGCATTACTGTTTTTATCAAGTAAATGCCTACTCATTGATTGAGTATCACTGTCTTCATGATCTGAAATTAGACCCAACAGATCTCGTCTCTCTCGACGGTCTACTTGTAAAGATATTTCTGAGCGTTCATCAAAATCTCTTACAATTCTTGGACTACCTAAATCTTCATTCAAGTTAGGTTCCAAAGGAATTAATGGTCTGCGTTCCCTCTGTACAGGGACGTTATCCATTCTAGTAACATCGTTCTCCTGCGTGGTTGACCCACCAGTATGAGAACTATCTGCACTTTTATTAGCTGCCTGTAGCAAGCCAAAAAGTTTATCAAACCGCTTTTCAAAGCTTTCTTCTATGCTGAAAAGCTTCATTTCTAGATCCGCCGTCTTGGACGAACGTTTTTTAGACTTACTTGTTGAGGATTTGTTGCCGGTTCTGGCCATTTTGGTTTGGTTACCTGTACTTCCGGTAATAGTAATACCGACAGAATCACTTTCTAATTCTTCTTCGGATATTCTATTCGTTTCTTCCATAGTTAAATAATTATAGTCATAGTCAAACGACAAATATTGCGGCAGTAAAACATTTACTGACCGAATGCGAACTGAACGTGTTTTGTACACGCCGAAAGATAAACTGAAGCATGAACCACACGGGTGATCTGGGTTAGTTAATGTTTGAATCAAGATCATCTGTGTGTTTGCGAGTTATGAACGTAGTAAAGAAAGATAATCCAAAAGTATGTTTCTGACTGGTAAGTATAAATAATTGAAATAAAATTTGATAGCAGCAATTTATACGGATAATATACAAATTATATTGATACTGTAGTTAGTCTGTAGAAATTATGTTGCACTACTGTAACATTTAATACTATAATTTTTGCATACTAAGTTTTGATTACAATCTTCATAGATGATATGTTGCTATACAATTAATAATCTTATAGTTACCAGACAAGAGTACATGGAACAGTAAATTAACTGGTATTATTATACAGTATACTGATGGAGATTCTGTAGAGACAAACTATGTTGATAATATACAGAGGACTTCTGTGACAATTAGGTATATATTTGTATTATCCCTTGAAACAAAGTTGGTATGTGCATATACATCTCATAACATACTAGAAAATAATCAATATATTATAGAAAAAACACTGTGTTGCTGTTGTCATTATGAATGTAGCTGGAATGTATTCAAAGAATACCAAAAGCTCAAACCCTCAAACAAGGTAAAGATATACTCTGACATCTATTGATAAAGGTTGCAAATGATATTAATAAAACAGGCTGGATTAATCCATAGTCGTCCTACAAACTCAATCAAAATGTCAATCCTTGCCCTGCTATTTATATGATCATAAAATCTACAAACAAAAGAACCATTAAACATACCACCAAGACCATTGTAGGAAAACTAAAGTTGACATGGGCAATTAAATAGGATTTACTACATAGATAGACTTTAAACTTCAACTTTGCCTAAAATAAGATGTAAAATTTTACTTTGAAATTTCATATAAAAAAGAATCCTTCATTGTCAAAGGGATTGTCATTTTTAGCTCACCTGGCCCAAAGGGCCAAGTGAGCTTTTCTCATCACTTGGCGTCCGTCGTCCGTCGTTTGGCGTCGTCCGTCGTCGTCGTTAACTTTTTACATTTTGAACTTCTTCTAGAGAACCACTGAATGGAATGAAACCAAACATGGCATGAATGTTCCTAATGAGGTGCTGACCAAGTGTTGTTACTTTGTAGCCGATCCATCATCCAAGATGGCCGCCAACGGGGGACTTAGTTTAACATAGGACCCTATGGGAAATGTATACAAATGACTTCTTTTAGAGAACCACTGAATGGAATGAAACCAAACATGGCATGAATGTTCCTTATGAGGTGCTGACCATGTGTTGTTACTTTGTAGCTGATCCATCATCCAAGATGGCCGCCAGCGGGGCACTTAGTTTAACATAGGACCCTATGGGAAATACATACAAATGTCTTCTTTTAGAGAACCACTGAATGGAATGAAACCAAACATGGCATGAATGTTCCTTATGAGGTGCTGACCAAGTGTTGTTACTTTGTAGCCGATCCATCATCCAAGATGGCCGCCAGCGGTGTACTTAGTTTAACATAGGACCCTATGGGAAATACATACAAATGTCTTCTTTTAGAGAACCACTGAATGGAATGAAACCAAACATGGCATGAATGTTCCTTATGAGATGCTGATCAAGTGTTGTTACTTTGCAGTCGGTCCATCATCCAAGATGGCCGCCAGCAGGGGACTTAGTTTAACATAGGACCCTATGGGAAATACATACAAATGTCTTCTTTTAGAGAACCACTGAATGGAATGAAACCAAACATGGCATGAATGTTCCTTATGAGGTGCTGACCAAGTGTTGTTACTTTGTAGCCGATCCATCATCCAAGATGGCCGCCAGCGGGGGACTTAGTTTAACATAGGACCCTATGGGAAATACATACAAATGTCTTCTTTTAGAGAACCTCTGAATGGAATGAAACCAAACATGGCATGAATGTTCCTTATGAGGTGCTGACCAAGTGTTGTTACTTTGCAGTCGGTCAATCATCCAAGACGGCCGACAGCGGGGGACTTAGTTTAACATAGGACCCTATGGGAAATACATAAAAATGTCTTCTTTAAGAGAACCAATCAATGGAATGGAACCAAACATGGCAAGAATGTTCCTTATGAGATGTTGACCAAGTGTTGTTACTTTGCAGTCGGTCCATCATCCAAGATGGCCGCCAGCGGGGGACTTAGTTTAACATAGGACCCTATGGGAAATACATACAAATGTCTTCTTTTAGAGAACCACTGAATGGAATGAAACAAAACATGGCATGAATGTTCCTTATAAGGTGTTGACCAAGTGTTGTAACTTTGCAGTCGGCCATCATCCAGGATGGCCGACAGCGGGTGACGTAGTTTAACTTAGGACCCTATGGGAAATACATACAAATGTCTTCTCTTAGAGAACCAGTGAATGGAATGAAACCAAACATGGCATGAATGTTCCTTATAAGGTGCTGACCAAGTGTTGTTACTTTGCAGCCGATCCATCATCCAAGATGGCCGCCAGTGGGTGACTTAGTTTAACATAGGACCCTACGGGAAATATATACAAAATGTCTTCTTTCAGAGAACCACTGAATGGAATGGAGCCAAACATGGCATAAATGTTCCTTATGAGGTGTTGACCAAGTGTTGTTTCTTTGCAGCCGATCCATCATCCAAGATGGCCGCCAGCGGGGGACTTAGTTTAACATAGGACCCTATGGGAAATACATACAAATGTCTTCTTTTAGAGAACCACTGAATGGAATGAAACCAAACATGGCATGAATGTTCCTAATGAGGTGCTGACCAAGTGTTGTTACTTTGCAGCCGATCCATCATCCAAAATGGCCGCCAGCGGGGGACTAAGTTTAACATAGGACCCTATGGGAAATACATACAAATGTCTTCTTTTAGAGAACCACTGAATGGAATGAAACCAAACATGGAATGAATGTTCCTAATGAGGTGCTGACCAAGTGTTGTTACTTTGCAGTCGGTCCATCATCCAAGATGGCCGACAGCGGGGGACTTAGTTTAACATAGGACCCTATGGGAAATACATACAAATGTCTTCTTTTAGAGAACCACTGAATGGAATGGAACCAAACATGGCATGAATGTTCCGTAGGAGGTGCTGACCAAGTGTTGTTACTTTGCAGTCGATCCATCATCCAAGATGGCTGCTAGGGGGGGGGGGGGCTTAGTTTAACATAGAACCCTATGGGAAATACATACAAATGTCTTCTTCTAGAGTACCACTGAATGGAATGAATGTTCCTTATGAGGTGCTGACCAAGTGTTGCTACTTTGTTGCAGATTTACTGTTCAAGATGGCCACCAGGATATTTTATTAAATAATGGGACCAATATTAATCCAAATTTGGCCTCAATCATTATTTGGGTATCTGTTATGATTTTTATCTATCTTTACATGATTTCTAAAACCAAAGTAGAGTCAGGTGAGCGACACAGGCTCTTGAGAGCCTCTAGTTTTTTTCAAATCAGTGCAATATTAAGTTGTTAAATTGGCTCACATGACCTGTCTTTAATTGTTGTTTATTGGGCTGTTTCTCAATTCTTTAAATTGTAATTAAAAAGAAACCCAAATGATTTGAAAAATGTATTTTTACTTTTGCTTTAACAGACAACTGTTACCCTGGACGGAATACAGAATAAGATTAGGTATATATACAGACAGTGTAACAAATGGGGATGGGCCATATACTGAATGGAGAACTGTCAGAACTAATGAATCAGGTTAGTCTGAAGTTTTTGCAATCATCAATTTATGAAGATAAATTTTATTTTAATATTTTGGACTTTAATTATTGTTCTTTTGATTTAGTGAAGTAAAACCATGAATAATTCTCATGTTGATAAAACAGTACTCTTAACAAAATTTCCAATACTGTGGATTCATTATTATTCATGGTGTACCTTTTTTTGTGGGTATATGCAAACCACAAATTTAAGTTTTCAACAAAGTACAAATTTGCTGTAGGCTTGTATATAGACTTTGGCAAGCATGAATCAAGTGTCTACAAAAATACAAATTTTCCTCAATCCACAAAAATTGATACCAACAAAAAATAAATGAATCCACAGTATATAAATTGATCAAAACAATGCATCACTCAAACCAAAACCCATCAATGTTTGATGTATTTATATTAGTAGTCAATTGGAGAGATGATATGATGAGAGTAGCACAGTCTTTGTTGTACTGTGAAAAAAAAGGTGACATGATATATACGGGATAATTGAAAACATAATCAGAAAAAAAATTGACAACACCATGGCCAAACAAAAAATGACTGACAACACCATGTTCAAACAAGAAAAGACTGACAACTCCATGGCAACTCCATGGCAAAACAAAAAATGACTGACAACACCATGGTCAAACAAAAAAGATCGTCAACACAATGGCAAAACAAAAAAATGACTGACAACACCATTACCAAACAAAAAATGACTGACAACACCATGACCAAACAAAAAATGACTGACAACACCATGGTCAAACAAACAAAAGACTGACAACACCATGGTCAAACAAACAAAAGACTGACATCACCATGGATAAACAATAAAAGGCTGACAACAGGAGGGCCCAACAAAAAAAGACTGACAGCACCATGGACAAAAAAAAAAGACTGACAACATAATGGCCTAACATAAAAAAAAGACTAACAACACCATTACCAAACAAAAATAGACTGACAACACAATGGCCAAACAAAAAATGACTGACAACACCATGGTCATACAAACAAAAGACTGACAACACCATGGTCAACCAAACAAAAGACTGACATCACCATGGCTAAACAATAAAAGGCTGACAACACAATGGCCGAACAAAAAAAGACTGACAACACCATGGACAAACAAAAAATGACTGACAACACCACGACCAAACAAAAAATGACTGACAGCACCATGACAAAACAATAATAGACTGACAACACCATGACCAAACAAAAAAAGACTGACAATACCATGATCAAACAAACAAAAGACTGACATCACCATGGCTAAACAATAAAAGACTGACAACACCATGGACAAACCAACAAAAGACTGACATCACACATGACTAAACAATAAAAGGCTGACAACACAATGGCTGAACAAAAAAAGACTGACAACACCATGGACAAACAAAAAAAGACTGACAACACAATGGCCAAACAAAAAAATGACTGACAACACCACGACCAAACAAAAAATGACTGACAGCACCATGACCAAACAATAAAAGACTGACAACACCATGACCAAACAAAAAAAGACTGACAACACCATGACCAAACAAAAAAAGACTGACAACACCATGACCAAACAAAAAAAGACTGACAACACCATGGTCAAGCAAACAAACGACTGACATCACCATGGCTTAACAATAAAAGGATGACAACACTATGGCTAAACAAAAAAAAGACTGACTACACCATGAACAAACAAAAAATGACTAATAACAGCATGGCCAAAAAAAAAAATGACAACGCCATGGCCAAACAAAAAAATGACTGACAACACCATGGACAAACAAACAAAAGACTGACAACACCATGGTCAAACAAACAAAAGACTGACATCACCATGGCTAAACAATAAAAGGCTGACAACACAATGGTCAAACAAAAAAAGACTGACAACACCATGGACAAACAAAAAAAGACTGACAACACAATGGCAAAACAAAAAAATGACTGACAACACCACAACCAAACAAAAAATGACTGACAACACCATGGCCAAACAGAAAAAGACTGACAACACCATGGCTAAACAAAAAATGACTGACAACACCATGGACAAACAAACAAAAGACTGACATCACCATGGCTAAACAATAAAAGGTTGACAACACCAGGGCAAAACAAAAAAAGACACATCACCATGGACCAACAATAAAGACTGACAACACCATGGTCAAACAAAAAAAGACTGACAAAACAATGGCCTAACAAAAAAGACTGACAACACCATGAAAAAAACAAGAAAGGCTGACAACACCATATGGACAAACAAAAGAAGACTGACAACACCATGGACAAACAAAAGATGACTGACTGCACCATGGACAAACAAAAGAAGACTGACAACACCATGGACAAACAAAAAAAGACTGACAACACCTTGGAAAAAAAATAAAAACTGACAACACCATAGAAAGAACAAGAAAGACTGACAACACCATGAATAACAAAAAAAAACTTAACAAAACCAAAAAAAACTGACAACACCATGGTCAAACAAAAAATGACTGACAAAAAGTAGAAAAAGACTGACAACACCATGACCAAACAAAAAAAGACTGACTACACCATGGACAACAAAAAAAAATTAACAAAGGCAAAAAAAGACTGACAACACCATGAAAAAAACAAGAAAGGCTGACAACACCATATGGACAAACAAAAGAAGACTGACAACACCATGGACAAACAAAAGATGACTGACTGCACCATGGACAAACAAAAGAAGACTGACAACACCATGACCAAACAAAAAATGACTGACAACATCATGGAAAAACAAGAAAGACTGAAAACACCATGGAAAAAACAAGAAAGACTGACAACACCATGGACAAACAAAGTTACCTATCAAAACCACAGAAAGACTGACAACACCATGGTCAAACAAAAAATGACTGACAACACCATGGCCAAACAAAAAAAGACTAACAAAACCATGGCCAAACAAAAAATGACTAACAACACCATGGCCAAACAAACAAAGACCAACAAAACCATGGTCAAACAAAAAAAGACTGACAACACCTCGGAAAAAAAAACAAAACTGACAACACCATAGAAAAAACAAGAAAGACTGACAACACCATGGACAACAAAAAACCAAACAAAACCAAAAAAAAAATGACAACGCCATGGTCAAACAAAAAATGACTGACAAAACTAGAAAAAGACTGACAACACCACAGCCAAACAAAAGAAGACTGACAACACCATGATCAAACAAAAAATGACTGACAAAACTAGAAAAAGACTGACAACACTATGGCCAAACAAAAGAAGACTGACAACACCATGGCCAAACAAAAAATGACAACACAATGGAAAAACAAGAAAGATTGACAACACCATGGAAAAAACAAGAAAGACTGACAAACAAAAAAACCTATCAAAACCAATAAAAGACTGACAACACCATGGTCAAACAAAAAATGACTGACAACACCATGGCCAAACAAAAAAAGACTAACAAAACCGTGGCCAAACAAAAAAAGACTGACAACACCATGGACAAACAAAAAAACCTATCAAAATCAAAAAAAGACTGACAACACCATGGTCAAACAAAAAATGACTGACAACACCATGGCCAAACAAAAAAAGACTAACAAAACCATGGCAAAACAAAAAATGACTAACAACACCATGGCCAAACAAACAAAGACCAACAAAACCATGGCCAAACAAAAAAAGACTGACAACACCTTGGAAAAAAAAGAAAAACTGACAACACCAGAGAAAAAACAAGAAAGACTGACAACACCATGGACAACAAAAAAAACCTAACAAAACAAAAAAAAATTACAACACCATGGTCAAACAAAAAATGACTAACAAAACTAGAAAAAGACTGACAACACCATGGCCAAACAAAAGAAGACTGACAACACCATGATCAAACAAAAAATGACTGACAAAACTAGAAAAAGACTGACAACACTATGGCCAAACAAAAGAAGACTGACAACACCATGGCCAAACAAAAAATGACTGACAACACCATGGAAAAACAAGAAAGACTGACAACACCATGGAAAAAAACAAGAAAGACTGACAACACCATGGACAAACAAAAAAACCTATCAAAACCAATAAAAGACTGACAACACCATGGTCAAACAAAAAATGACTGACAACACCATGGCCAAACAAAAAAAGACTAACAAAACCGTGGCCAAACAATAAAAGACTGACAACACCATGGACAAACAAAAAAGACCAACAAACACAGTCATTCCTCAAAACACAACACAGAAAACTAAAGTGAGTAACTTTACCTTATACGGATATGTATACATATATATATAGATGACACTTACTGTTAATGAGGTAATGTTTAGGGGGGAGGCTATTTTTGTGTATTTTGCAATCCCGTAAAATTCATGAAAATATTCCACCTGTGAATTGAACACCTGTGTAAATAGTTAATACTGGTACATTGAAATAGTGAAAATAACAACCTGTGAAAATATCCACACTTTCAATGCTTTGCAGTTTAAAAGCTTTGTATTGAGCACTGTGAATGTGTTTCAGTATTTAATTATATTTGGTCAATCATGGTCCATCTAATAGCCCCTTTTATTATGAAGCACTCTTTGAATATATTTACAATTACTCTCATGTACAAAATAGAATATATTGGAATATATACCTATAAATCTTTTTTGTGCAACTAGCACCTGGTACAGTTGGAAATATCAATCACCAAGCCACACCCACAAGCATCACCTTAACCTGGTCACCGCCACCAAAACCTAATGGAGTTATTCAGCACTATGTTATCCAGTATCAGGATGAAGGATTAGGAGCAGACCACTTCACATCTAATATTCTGATATTTAGACCAACAACTGATGATACTGTGTCTGGAAATGGTAAGTGTCAAGTCAGTTTAACTTCAGTGATTAGCTTTAGTGATTCATTCATTTAGAAACTTTATGATATGAAATTCCGGACCCATCTTATAAAAAACAGAAAATTTAAAACTACATACATCGTTTTTGTCTTGGAAAAAAAGGCTATAGGATGATTGTACATGACACTAAAATTTAATTAAATACTGAAAATAACTAATACAATGTACAATGAAACTATAATTTTATTGCTGTTTTTTATCTCCACAGTTGCTGTAAGTTTTTCAGGTGTGATCTAAAGAGATCATCAGATAAGTCAACATAACCAAAATTGACAATCATCTCTTATATGAGTTATTTAGTGCCTTAAAAGACAATTTTTTGCCTTTTAGCTTTTCTCATCACTTTGTGTCCGTCGTCGTCTGTTAACGTTTAAAAAAATCTTCTTCTCTGAAACTACTGAGCCAAATTTACCCAAACATGGCCACAATCATCATTGGGGTATCTTGTTTTAAAAATGTGTCTGATGACCACGCTTGTCAACCAAGACGGCCAACATGGCTAAAAATAGAACATAGGGTAAAATGGAAATTTGGTTATTATTTTGAAAACTGCTATGAATACAGAAATTCTGACCGGGGCAAAAATGTTCAGAATGTTGAGCTCTACCTATTGTCTAATTATGTCAAAACTTTCAGACGACTTCATATAGGAGTTATTGCCCTTAGTTAACAAATTTTACCATTTTTAAAAGGAGTAGGCCCAGTAAGACCCCTTTTTGGCCCCAAAATATAGCAGTTTTACAAAATTGTTAAAATGTAAATTTTTAGCTATTTATCGGAAAGAAGAATATTTCTGTTACATAAATATGGGCTGTTTTTGACAATACAATGCACATGTATCGGGTACTAGCATCATTCAGTCATGCTAAATTACTGAAATCTTCGAAATTTTAGCATTTTGGTTAATTTTTAGACGGTTTCCGTCTGAAATGGAAGTGGCCGCATTTGTGTTCATTCTTAATATTTAAATGTAAGTTGTATTTGATGATAATACATAACATATATAAAGATTGAGAATGAACACGGATGCGGCCACTTTCATTTTTGACAAAAACCATCTGAAAAGTGACATATTATGGCATGTTTGATAGATTTTTCATATTTAAGCTTGAATTTGAGCGTCTTTAATGACTAAATCAGTTCAAATCTTTCACATAAACTGATTGAATCGACTGAAGTAGACACTTAAGTGTTTAAAAAGTGTCCAAAATCTTTCATCAGATGAACTTGAATTTTGAGGCCAAAATCGGCCCTTACCGGACCTACTCCTTTTTTGCCTATTATCTTGAAAATTATAATAGATAGACAGAAACTTTAAATATTGAAATGATCAGCAAGACAAGATCTACAAATAAGTGAATGTGTCCAAAATCATCTGATGACTCCTTATTAGAGTTATTGCCCTTAAATGACATTCAATTTTTTGGGTTATTGCCTAACATCTTAAAAACTATTATAAATAGATAGAATCTTTAAAAAGGCAAAAAATGATCAGCAGGACAGAAACTACAAATAAGTCAACATGGCTGAAATCTTCTGCCGACTCCTTATTAGAGTTATTGCCCTTAAATGAAGATTTTTATCAATTTGTTGCATTTTACCTTATATCTTAAAAACTATAATAGATAAATAGAAACTTTAAAAGCAAACAGGACCAGCAAGACAAGTTCTACAAATAAGCCAACATCATCATATTCATTAGTCAACTCCTTATTGAAGTTATTGCCCTTTAATGACAATTTTTCCCATTTTTTCCCATTTTTGCCTATTATCTTGAAAACTATAATAGATAAATAGAAACTTTAAAAAGGAAAAAATATCAGCAGGATAACTTCTAGAAATATTTTGACATGACTTAAATTGTTGGGTAACTCTTGATAGAGTTACTCCCCTTTAATTATTATTTTTACTTATTTAAGTGGCCATTGTTGAAGATGCAGGTGAGCGACACAGGCTCTATAGAGCATCTAGTTTTTATTGTTGCTATTTTCTTAAAAGTTGTAATAGCTAAAGAGACACTGCAAGCAGCAAAAACGATCAACAAGATAAGATCAGCAAATATGTAAACAAAACTGAAATAATCAGTCAATCAACTACTTGTGGGAGTTATTTGTGTCTCCAATAACCATTTTTACCCCTCTTTTTGGAGATTTTGGTTGTTATCTGAAGAACTCTGATAGATGGAGAGAAGCTATGAACAGCTCAAAGAATCAGCAAGATCAGATTTACAAATAGGTGAACATAACAGATTTGTGGATCAACTTCTTATAGGAGCTACTGCCACTAAATGATTAAGTTTATTGTTTTTATACACTCGTTAATGGGACGTATTATGGTATACTTTTGTATGTCCGTTTGTCCTTCCATCTGGCAGTCCGTCCGTACGTCTGTCCGGTCTGTCTGTCGGTCCGTCGTCATAATGTCGGACAATAAATCAAAAACGCTTTAACCAATTTGCATGAAACTTTGGTGAATTGCTTATATCTATTGATATGAGCTCCCTTTCGATTTTTATAAATTTTAGATTTTACGTTTTCATGTTATGGGGTTTGATTCATTAAAAAAGGGGATTTTCCAGTTTTCAGACAATAAGTCAAAAATGCTTTAAGCAGTTTTCGTGAAACTTGGGTGAATTGTTTATATCTCTATTGACGCAAGCTCCCTTTCAATTTTATAAATTTTTGATATTACGTTTCCGAGTTATGGGATTTTATTCATAAAAAAGGGAGGATTTTCCAGCTTTCGGACAATAACTCAAAAGTGCTTTGAGCAGTTTTCATAAAACTTTGATGACTGTTTTACATCTATCAAAATAACATCCCTTTAGTTTTTTATAAATTTCTTATATGACATTGAGGAGTTATGGAACTTTATTCTTTGAAAAAGCGACAGGCATATCATGCACTCATGGCGCAGCTCTTTATTTTCAATTGTCTTGAAAAAAGTTATATATAAAGAGAAACTGTAAACTGATCAAGACAAGATCTGCAAGAAAATAAAGTGATGGAAATTGTTAATAGACTCCTTCTTGTGGTGGTTGTTCTGAATTTACTTGACAATTTATTTTAACTCACTTGACCTGTAGGCTGAAGTTGAGCTTTTGTCTTTCCTTAATGTTAACAAAAATCTACTATGAAAATATTGGGCCAATTTGAACCAAACTTTACCACAATTTTAATTTGGGTATCTAGTTATACCCTGCAGAACAAAGTTCTGTAGGGTATAATATTTTTGACCTGTCCGTCCGTCAGTCCTGTTCTTGTCACTGCAACTCCTCTGAAACCACACAACAGAATTTCCTGAAACTTTGAAGATAATATTGGTATACTATGTAGATGTGCATTTCGACAGGAAATTATGATAGTATTTTTTTCTAGGAGTTTTACCCCTTTGAACTCAGAATTTTGGCCTTAATATACTACTGCAACAGTTTGTCATCGCAACTCCTCTAAAAACACACAACAGAATTCCATAAAACTTTGTAGATAATAAGGACATAATATGCAGATGTGCATATCCACAAAAAAATATTATCAGTTGACTTTTGGAGGAGTTATGAGTCTTTGAACTTAGAATTTTAAACCACACAACAGAATTTCATAAAACTTTGTAGATAATAAGGACATAAAATGTAGATGTGCATATCCACAAGAAATTATCATCAGTTGACTTTTCTAGGAGTTATGCCCCTTTGAACTTAGGAATCTAGTGAGATTTTGTTTGCCCACTGACAATGTGGGGGCATGGGGTATGTGAGTGTGCTCACAAAGGTTCTTTAATTGAAAAATTTGTTAGATGATTCTGCAAAATTGTTCAAAATATTGAGATATACCTACTGGCCAATTTAAATCAAAACAGTCATGACGACTTTTTATAGCCCTAAACGAATTTTACCAATTTTTTTCTTCAGTTTTGCTTATTATGCTGAAAACTATAATAGATGGAAAGAAACTTAAAACAGCAAAAATGATCAGCACAACAAGATCTACAAATGAGTCAGCAAAGTCAAAATTGTCAGTTGACTTCTTATAGGAGTTATTGCCCTTAAATAACAATTTTTACATTTTTTTTTGAGTTTTTGCCTATATTATTGAAACTGTAAGATAGATAGAAACTTTAAATAGCACAAATGATCAGCAGGACAACAATTACAAATATGTCAACATGGCCAAAATTGTCAGTCGACTCTGTTTAGGAGTAATTGCCCTTTAATCATGTTTTTGACCATCTTTAAAAGCATTTGCTTGCATTTGCTTTTATTGTCATCGTGTACATGCCATTTTGTTTACCGACAGTCACGTGAAATAGAGTGTACACAAGATCTTTCAAGATCGAGAAAAAGTATCTGTTTGCTTGATTTTTGTATTGAAAATTATGTTATTTCTATATGCTCATGGCACAGCTCTTTATTGCATTTTTGCAGAAACTGAAATCTATAAGGAGGAAAAGTGATTAGCAAAGCAATATCTTCAAATAGGTAAACATAACCGAAATTGTCATTGGACTACTTATAGGAATTATTGCCGTTACAATGATTTTTACCCTGTTTTCATTTTGGGCAAAAATTTTAGAAAACAGAATAAAACTGTTTAAGGTAAAAATGATCAGCAAGACATGATCAACAAAAAAAAAGGGATTTTAGTCATGAATTATATCCCACCTACAATGTTAGAGAGTGGCCATTTATGAAGATGCACTTATATCTAGGTGAGCGTGCTGTTGTTTTATATATTGTCTTAGTGGATCTGTATCAAACCTTGTAACAATCTTATTTAGTGTGTGAAAGATGGCTGACACCGTTGCTGGTGATTTTATTGTCAAATATTTTTACCAGGTTAGCAATAATTCAGGCTTTGGGGAACATCTAGTGTTGTTTTTTTGTTTTATTTATTGTAGGACAAATGTTACTTATAAATACAAAAATAATGTATATTATGTCATAAAACTTGTGTCATTTCTAATTGATCAGAAAAGAAGCTTTTTGATAAACATGAAACTGTAACAAATGTAAAAATGATCAAAAAGAACATGTATTTAGCATTAACCTTTATCAATAATTATTCTTTCAAAAAAATAAGAAAAACATTATACCAAGACAAATTGCAAAATTTAGAATTAAATTATTCCATTGCCCGAGGAAATACTTTTAAATTAAATAGAAATTGAAAACATTAAATTGACTGAAAAACAACTTGAAAGAAAGTAATTGAAGAACATAAAATACAAATGGTCTACAATATGTTGACTTTGTACTTGAAGATGTGTACAGGATGTGTCAGACATGAATGATTTTCCTGAGGATTTGAACATCAATTTGTTAAATAAGTAATCATACTGTCAGGATAGTTGGTTCACAGCCAAAGTATATAGTCAGTCTTAACAAATTTGTAGTTATAAAAATTTATCAACTTACGATTATATGGACTAAACTTAGGGGGTATGATTTTAATTTAGGTCTTAATATAGAAATGAGATTTTCCTTAAAGCTATATTTTTTTCATTGGTAATAAATCTTTTACTTGAGCAAATATTTTCTTTGAAGGCTGCTTCAGGTTAAATAGCTTTCTAATTCACTGTCTGATTTGGGTACTGTTTGTCAAATTTAGTATAAGAAAAACTTAAGTTAATCAGAAAATATTTGTCCTACTTTGTAACATTTTTATGCTCCCAGAAAATATTTCAGGAGCATTTAGTATTGGCTTTGTCTGTCTATCCTTCTGTCAGTGTGTACGAAACAATTGGTTTCCAGATAATAACTTGAGTTTGTTTCCCTTGCGTGATTGAAAGAAACTAATACAAATGATCAATATTTGGAGGGTGGAAAAACCTATTGATTTTGGGGTTAAAAGGTCAAAGGTGAAGGTCACTATTACAATAAAGTGGAAAATGGTTTCCAGATGGTAACTTGAGATTTACTTGCCTGATTGTAATGAAACTTACACAGATGAGAGGGAAAGAGAAGGGGGAAAGTCTTATTTTTTTGTCGACAGATCAAAGGTCAATGTCACTGTTAATAAAAACGAAACATTTTTTCCTTCTGCATGGTAGCTTCATTGGAATGAAATTAATCTGATGGAAGATATAGGAAAAGGGAGAAAGCCTTATGAATTTTGGGTCAACAGGTCAAGGTCACTTTTACTAAAAATAGAATTTTTTTAAGCATAATTAATATCCTATCTAGAGGTCATCTAGATTTCCATGTTTTATAACATCGTAGTTGTACTATATATAGAAACAAGAAGTAATAACCATACCAACACCACCTCTCTAAAATAATGAAGAAAAAAGATAAAAGTTAGAATGTATGTCAGTCGGTGTAAAAATAGTTTTATAATGAGAGAGCCATATGATATGTCAAAAGATTATATTACCATTAAGTAGAGTCGTCAGTCTCTCGTAGTATATGTCTCTGATTACAATGATATAAAAGAGGTGAAAACAAATCTTGATGTATATCATCTTCATCACTCATAATTATTCAGTAATCTGTATTTTAACTTTAACTGGCCTAAAGCTAAATTTACACACCTGTTTAAATTATACAGGTAAAATGATATCTAATTAAAGGTATTGATAAAGATTGAAATAGATCACTGACATTGGAGATTTGTTTATATAATAGGTGAATAAATCTTATTTGATGATTATATTGTGAAGTTTTATAAATATCTTGCTTGGAATTATGATTATACATGAAATATAATTATTTTTTAACAATATGTATATAATAATCTGACTGATTGGCCATAAATAGAACATTTCCTATCAGAAAGTTAAGGATTAAATTACATATGGGATGTTAGATTAAGGTAAGTTTATTTTATTATTTAATATGCTTATATATATTTTATGAAAAAGATATTCAAATAGAGATGATAATGTGATATTTAATGGGTTGCACTCGTTGCACTTTCTTGATATTTTCATAATTTGATAATGAGAGGCAAATAAATGGCTGTATCTTTCAAATTTTTTTCATAATTGATGACTCCTAATATCTTTTTCAGACTCGTTTTGTGTTTTAGATTCCTCATACTTGTCTAGTATTAGAATTATCTGCCCTTTTCTGGACCCACCCACTTTTTCATGAATTAAACTCTTGTTATTTGTTCTCATTGCAATTTTGCTTGTTTTATTAGTCACTGGATGTGACTTTTTGAACAATAAGCAATGAAGTACAGTCAATTAAACAATAAGCAATAAATACCCTGTCCTGCAGTGACAAAGTATAAGGTTACAATCAGTCTCCTTATATTATTAGTACAAAATATACATTTTTATGTAGCTTTTTTCTTCAGAAAAAATCTCTGATTTCAGTTAAACATTGTAAATATCCTTTACATTGACAAACAAATATATTAATTTGCAAATTGGAAGTCAGGTTAGGATAAATCAAATGTATAAGGTAAATCAGACTGTCCTCAGTGCCCATCCATAGACCAGGAGATTATGTCAGAAAATTAGATAAAACCACTCACTGATCCTGATATCAATTACATAATTATTAATTATTGAATCAAATTAAAATTGACAATTGGTTTAAATAATATAAATCATAATAAACAGGTTGAAACCAATCACCAAAATAGGATGGTTAAACTGTTTAAACCAATTTGGGAACTATTATCGCAAAGTGTGATATTAGAATTACTTTCTTAAGAAAGTTGGATTTTATAGATAATACTAAATAAGTGTAATTTTAATCCAAATAATACAATAGAAGGCTTTAGCTTCTGGTGGGCAACATTTCTGGGTGCCTGTAATATTTAGATGATTAAACACACTGAAATTGATATTGCAAGGATCTAGCGAAGTTGCTGTTTCATCTCATTCTCTTGTTAATGTGATAGGTCAGTATCTCATCTTTTTAATTCCTTTTTCTGTCTGTCTATAAAGACTACAAACGGTACAACTATTCAGTAAGTATTTTCTGTTATGTATATATATATAAAGTTAAATTGATAAAACTGTCACCCAAAAACATGAAAAACATGCAGTAACCAAAATATGAAAATCTGTGGGTCACTATTTGTCCTTCATATTGATGAATAAAAGTTATTTAAAGTCCTCTTATAATTAAAAAGTACCAAAGTACAGTTGAGTTGTACTAGAAATTATATTTGACTTAGAAGTGGCTATACATGATGTCAAGAGGCGAGTAAGTTTATGTGTTTTAATAACCTGGTGTAATCTATATAGAGGAGATATTACTGACTGTGAATAAAAATTGTATGTAAATAAACTGAAGAGTTGTTTGTATATAGATTACGCTCTATGATTTATGATAAAGGATTAATTACCTAGTATAGTTTGTACCCTATATACATATCTAAAAGGTAAAATTGTATGCCATGTATTGAATTCTAGTAAAAAGCTCTTTTAAAAAAAAGTATATGGGGGTTTTTGAAGGCAATTATTCAGAACCCCACCACTCATATACTGAATGACAACCACTCACAGAAATGTATATGTAAGTTCCTGTAAACCCACCAGATAACGTTTTCCAGAGCAACCCTAAGCCAATACTGTAAAATAACCAAAAGGTTTCTTAGGATATGATAGAATAGACTACTTTTGTACATCTTTTTGTCCGGTGAGAATCAGGTCATAATGTTTGTCGTGACCGCAACTTATGACAACTTCCTGGTATATAGTACCAGGCCTTATCTCACTAAACTTGAAAATGTCTTGGTTTTTATGCCCCACCTAGGGGCATTATGTTTTTTCGGTCTGTGCGTCCTTCGTCTGTCCGTCCTTTCGTCCGTCTGTTCGTCTATCTGTCCGTCCGTCTGTCCCACTTCAGGTTAAAGTTTTTAGTTAAAGTTTTTGGTCAAGGTAGTTTTTGATGAAGTTGCATGAGTAATTTTTATGACAGCCGTTTGATTTTTGTTACCAAATTAGCTGCATCGATCTTATTGTCTTTCAGTAATAATTAACTAACAGAAGTTCTTCATGATTTTATTTTTTGTTTTCATTTTCTTTTACAGCATATTTGTCTGTGTTGAGTATTAGTTTAAGAATCTTATTTACTTACTTCCTTTGTGTTAAACTAGGGGAGTTTATCTGGTTATCTCACTTGTTTACATGGAAAGAACATCATTGATTTACTGTTTTTTCTCTCCCCATTCAATTTTTCCTCTCAACTGTCTCCCCAATTATATTTCATTATTTCATAACCAAATTGTGTTTTTTTTTGTTATATAAATCCATGATATTTAATTTGTTACAGAAGTGGTCAAAAGAATCCAAACAGATTTGACTACAGGGATATTAAAAAATCTAACACCAGGCCATGTATTCAAGATTACTATTATGGCAGTAAATGGTGCGGGTGTAGGAGACAAGTTTGATTACACAGCATCAACAGGTGGTTTTCATTTAAAACTTTCTAGAGTTATTTCCCCTGTCACAATATTAATTTTTTTGGGTAAAAAACTTTTTCAAGATTTTTATAGTCACATTAAAAAAAATAAAGTCAAACATTGTTGAAAAAACACTGTTTTCCAAAACTGCTTCTTATTCATACTATTTTAAAAATTTATTCAATTTATACAAAAAGTATTCAATTGATCTGCTTATGCTTAATATAGTGAATATACTCATACACAGCAAAGATGTATCTAATGCCAAAACAAAATTATGAATCACTCTTCCGTGTTTATTATAGAAAAAGTAAATATGTAAAAATGTACTTCTAGCCTCTTTGCCACCTTTGGCAGTTGAAACAACAACTAAGGAGGAGATGTCAACAGAGGCCACAACAGTAAGCCTCTCTCAACCTAATGGAGTAAACTCTGTGTTATCACCAGCAGTGTTTGGTGGCATTATAGCTGGAGCTGTACTTGTTGTCATGGTGATTATACTAGTAACCTGCTTATGTATCAGGAGGAAAAGATTAGACCAGGCAAAATATGGTAGGATTAAATGTTAAATTACAATAATAAAATCTTTCTCTAACCAAAACCAAATTTAGCAGGAATGATATATGGAGGTTCTTTGATATAATTTTCTAATTTCAATTCCATTGGATAAAATTGTGGTACTTAAGACAGTACTTACTCTTCAGTTGTGGAGAAGTGCCATTTTTGTCTCGCCTAATACAAGACATAGGGATTACAATCCAGCAGGGTCATCAACTATTTGAAAGAATTTTATATTTCAGAGAGTGAACCTAGAGGCTTCTTATCTTGTATACAGACGCCTCTTTATACAAGATATGTATCCTCCAGGTTATAAAGTATTTATCTGTCGTATGTCCATTGTCCTTGATCTCATTTGAATATTTCAGAAAGTGCTTAAAAGAAATGTAGAGTTTTTTTAATCATATGAATTTCTCACTTATTATGAGTAACAGGGAAGCTATTATTGGTATATGGGTTCCTTGCAAGGTCTGTCTGGCTTGGTTTATCTGACCTTGACCTCATTGTCATGGATCAATGATAATGTTGGGTTTATTTGATACTTGTAGTAAAACTTTATCTTTAATATCATTCATGGTCAGTAAAGCAGGCAAAACATTTCAGTGTGTACACTCTTGTTGACATTGTGCATAGATTCAGCTGATCATTGCAGCTTTACAACCTTTATTTATATTTTTTAAGAAATCTTGATCGCTAGATCAATTGAATAAATTTCATAGTCCAAAATTTTGAAAATCTAACTTATTTATCTAAAATTGAGAATTTATAGAAAAAATTACTTAAATTGGCTCTGATTATAAAAAACCTCATGTTTATCTTTATTTGGTAGACGACAGTTCCTTAGTTACAATATTTGTAAGAAAATGCATATGTAGTGGAAATATTTTTAAAGAAAAATTCAAAAATTTGTAATCAAGTTAAAATTTATGAAATATTTATACTTACCAGTCAGAAACATACTTTTGGATTATCTTTCTTTACTACGTTCATAACTCGCAAACACACAGATGATCTTGATTCAAACATTAACTAACCCAGATCATCCGTGTGGTTCATGCTTCAGTTTATCGGCGTGTACATAACACCCGCACTGAAATTAAAGCATGGGGCGGCGGTGGGAATATTGACTGGTAAGTATAAATAGTTCATAAAATTTTAACTTGATTACAAATTTTTGAATTTTATTTCAATTATTTATACTTAACAGTCAGAAACATACTTTTGGATAGTTGAGTTTCCTGCAAACTTTGATTGTTTATTCAACCAATTATCACGACTATCATAGTCCAACTTTCTTTTGTTGGTTTTGTGAAATTCGGGTAACAAATCTTCCAATTGTTCCCTTTGCTCTTTCCTTTTCTCAAGTTATTTTTCCAGACCTTGTCCAAAAACACCATCGTCAGAAAGCGGTAAATAAAGTACCTTAGCTTGAATGTGATTTAAATTATTTATGCCTGCATCTGTTGCAGCACATTTCCTTCTTATCATATGATGAAAGGCTCCAGCTCTACCCATTTGGTCAAGAGATTTGGTTGACATAGCAAATAAATCTTTAACTAATTGACAATTTTCTTCACTAGCATTGTCATTTTCTAAATTACCCAACAAAGTGCCCAAAGCTTGTTGCATATACGAAATAGAAATTATTCCAATTCTGGAAGCTACCTGTCCAGAATAGGATAGCTTCTCAATTTGTTTCACAGGTTGAGAAAATAATTGTTTTTGCTTGTCCCAAGATTTCACGGTTTTATTTGTATGCACACGTTTAATCATAGGTTCTAGCATATCATCTAAACTTGGCACTTGTAACACTGGTAAAGATTTCTCATGTACAGGAAAACATGATCTATATTCACCTTTATAAGCAGACAAATGTTCAGGATGTTGAGTTCTCTAAGAGTAAGATAAAATCTTAACTTGTGAATCATCTAAAATTAAACCTACTGACTGGTCACTATTGTCACCTGGTAAATCATCCTTAAAAATTTTAGCTAGTCTATCAACTTTATTGTTGCATGTAGTGTAAGTAATTAAGTTTAAGTATTTACTAAACCTGTCAGTTTTATTAGCATTACTGTTTTTATCAAGTAAATGACTACTCACTGATTGAGTATCACTGTCTTCATGATCTGAAATTAGACCCAACAGATCTCGTCTCTCTCGACGATCTACTTCTAAAGATATTTCTGAGCGTTCATCAAAATCTCTTACAATTCTTGGACTACCTAAATCTTCATTCAAGTTAGGTTCCAAAGGAATTAATGGTCTGCATTCCCTCTGTACAGGGACGTTATCCATTCTCGTAACATCGTTCTCCTGCGTGGCTGACCCACCAGTATGAGAACTATCTGCATTTTTATTAGCTGCCTGTAGCAAGCCAAAAAGTTTATCAAACCGCTTTTCAAGCTTTTTTCTATGCTGAAAAAATTCATTTCTAGATCTGCCGTCTTGGACGAACGTTTTTTAGACTTACTTGTTGAGGATTTGTTGCCGGTTCTGGCCATTTTGGTATCACGAATTTGGTTACCTGTACTTCCGGTAATAGTAATACCGACAGAATCACTTTCTAAGTCTTCTTCGGATATTCTATTTGTTTCTTCCATAGTTAAACAATTATATAGTCATAGTCAAACGACAAATACTGCGGCAGTAAAACATTTACTGACCGAATGCGAACTGAACGTGTTTTGTACACGCCGAAAGATAAATGAAGCATGAACCACAAGGATGATCTGGGTTAGTTAATGTTTGAATCAAGATCATCTGTGTGTTTGCGAGTTATGAAAGTAGTAAAGAAAGATAATCCAAAAGTATGTTTCTGACTGGTAAGTATAAATAATTGAAATAAAATCCTTTTTTTTAACCAACAACTTTGATTTTTTTTTTTTAAAGTACATTTATTGAGACTTACAAGTGTTTGGTATACACAGGTTGAAATAGAATATTTATTGCATGTCGTGGTAAGTGAGCATTATATAAGTTCCAACAGGAACTATATGAAGGGTTTGGTTATTCAGGTTTAACTGTACATTAATATACTCAGCAATTCAAGAAACGTACCACATCTTTTTTTGTAATTTGAATGATTTAATTTTATTTTTGTTTGAAATTAAAGCAATGGAAGCAAAAGTTTAAAATTCTTCAGATAAAAATTATTGCAGAAATCTTCACATCCAATCTTGAAACAGGGTTTCACAGTAAAAAAGTTTTAATTAAAATTAATTCTTTTTTAGGACTTCAATGAGGGATGCAATTTTGTCAAAAAAAAAATTCTGAGGTAACAAAGAATTTGTTTTTCGAGTTTAAAAATTTTCTACTTTGAAATTCTTCAGTCTTGTAAAATATAAATCTCTTGATGTCGAAACTAATGTGTCAAATTTCTGACCAATCCTTTTGCTTAAGTTTTAAAGATATAGCAATTTGAATATTTAATTCCAAAAGTACTTACTTTATTATTGATCAGTATATTTTGGGGATTTCTTTACAAAATATTGCAGAAATTAACACCTGTTTAAATGTCAAGGTACAAAGTATCAGATAACATTTAATATCTTGATTTAAGAAATGGGAAGAAGGAAGCTAGAATATGTTAAACCATATTAAACAGATGTTATGGTCTGTCACATGACAAAAAAATGAAGAAATACATTATATAAACAAAGAAACAATTCAAAAATAGGAAAAGATTTACATGATATGCAGTTGTTAAAAATGGAAGTCTTGAATACAAGTAAGAGACATAAATTTTTTATGTTGTGCCTGAAATCGACTTATTATGCATATTTCATATTTGTGTAAAACATTTTGGGGAATTTTAATCCCCCCCCCCTTAAACATAAAAGATTAATTTTCCCTAATATATGTACCAGCTTGATTTAAATGGAATAGCCAATTACTTTTAGCATTGGTCAACAAAGATTACTTGGTGATTACTGTCCCCTTTTGTCCCTTCTCCGTATTTTAGTTCTTAGAAATTGATTATGTATACTGTATACTTTTAAAGTTTAACTGATTTATTTTAGTGAATACAAAGAATCCTGGAGTATTTGGAAACTTACAAGAAGACAAATCTTTAAGGTAAGATGTCATTTCTTATTATCATGAGATATACAGTAGTTTCAAAAACAAATATATCAATTTTACTTTATTCTTTATTCTATAATTTTATTTTTATACTGTAAATGTTGAAAAAAAAATCCCCCCCTCCCCCCCACCCCCCCCCCCCCCCCCCACCCTGTGAAGAGTATGTACAAATCAATAATATTGATGTTAAAAGGGCACTCATCATTGGGTGCACGAATTTAACCCCTACATTTAAATCTTGAAAATAAAACCCTCCAAAAATATGTTTACAGCATATTCCATAAAAAATACATTATTTTCCTAAAATGGTTAAAAATTCATTTTTCAACTAATTTTCTTAAAATTTTCAAAGATAAAAGCAGAGTAAGTCAGTGTTCTTATGCCATTTTAGAAATTGATTTAACAAAGTTAGTACTCCAAAGTAACAAATTAACAAGTTGAGGGCTGAAGAGAAATAGTTTAAACCTGCTACGTGTCAAGTACTTGCCAGGAACTTTCTCAGTTGTTGTCTTATGTTATACCCTTATTATATTATTTTGGTTTTTGGGGATAATTGGTGTTGATGGCAAATCTTTGTCTTATTTGAATGAATTCACAACTTTTCTAGACTCCAGGCAATTCAGAGCTTGACATATTGTATAGGCATTTGTCTGTTGTGAAAGACCTAATGTTGACCTGAAGAAAGCATTTTTTTTTGCATTGGGTTGCTGCCTCAGTGATGTATACCACGCATATTCTCTTATTCATTAATATTCACACATACTTTTGTTTGACCTGAACTGTAAAGATATATTTTGATATTTTGAATGCAAGGAGTCAGATCTTTTTTTTTTCTCCCTGTGCATTTTTTTAATTTCTGTCTCCAATTTCAGAACATCTAAATCTGAACAGTTAGAAGATAGAGGATCATTAAGGAGAATAGATTTTGTTGGAGACACTGTACTATATGGATCTAACAATAAAACAAAGAAGGTAATTTAGGAATACTGAAGGTAGATTTTGTTATAACTGTAGCGTGACACAGTGATGTTACTGTGACTTGACTATAGGTGTTGCTGTTTACCTTTACCTATTGTTCAACCAGATTGTAAAATTGACAATACAATTTGGACATTTAAATTGACCAGTTGGTATTGTTAGAGTTAATTAATAGATGATCACTCATGCATTTTGAGTCTACCTGGAGTCTGTCCCATCACTTCACCTGTTCAATTGTAAATGTTGTAGTGTAACTGGGTTAGGTCTTTCAAAAGTTATCCATGTGGAAAACGTATTTTATGTTCTAATATTTGTTAAATACTGCTGATTTTTAAAGATTTATTTCCCCATGTTTTCATTAGAGAATCCTAAAACAAGTAAAGGAAATACACATGTAATTATAGTCTTTTTTCATTGAAATGAATGTATTCCTTAAAGTAATTGGCCATGCAATTGCCAAAGAAACGCAACATTTAGAAGGAAAACAAGAGCTTTTTATTTTAATTTTAGGAGTGAGCAAGCCAGAACAAGAATGTATATGGTTTTTTTTCTCGCAGGGTATTTAATTGCATGTTATATGCACTACATTTTCATTGCCAAATACTATGAGTGCTTGGATTTCTTTCATATTGATGAAAAGACCTCTCTTACCTCCTTAGCTTCTTCTAATGGGAGATAACTCAAAATAATTTTTTTAACTCTTGTGGAAATCTTAATAATATCATAATTTCCATAATTTTCCAGAATTAATAGACACCAGAACAAATGTGTGCATTCCTTCAGTTAGACATTTGTTCAATATTTATTGACATGAGCCTTGTACAAAGTGCTTATGCATAGTAAAATATCAAAATAATAGTTATGAATAAACTGTTTTGTTCATTAATTTATTTATTGGCACTGATATTGATATCCCATTCAGTATTCCGGTTTCACTATTTGAAATAATTTTAATATATTTTCCTAATTTTGTTAACTTTTTGGAATATTTCTTACATTTTCACTATATCACTAGATTTTTTTCTATAACCACAGGATTCTGTTTAATTTCCCATGATAGATATATGTAATTAAACAGGTGCAGATCCAGAATTTTGTAATTTATGACTATTTCCAATATCACATTCAAAAAAATTATCTTCACTTTACAGATTTTTTGGAATATTTTATTTACATTTTCACTTCATCACTTGATTTTACTATATCCACAGTATTACTATTTTATTTTCCATGATATATGTCCCAATTAATCAATATTAGATCCAGAATTTTATTATGATTATTTCCAATATCCCATTCAAAATTGTTATCCTCACATTATGAATTTTTTGAATAATTTTGCTTTTATTTTTCACCTTATCACTAGATAAGACTATATCCAATGTATTCACATTTTATTTTATTTCCATGATATATATATATCACATTTAAACAGGTGAATTATCTTCATATTAGATCCAGAGTTTTATAATGATAATTTTCAAAATCACATTTAAAACCACAGAAACATGTTGGATGAACTTATTTCTCCTACTTGCATTCCAGTTTTATTTTTTTTACCTTTTAGATTAACTAAATCCCATCTTATGAAAAGTGAATTCCCTTGAGTGAACACAGTATTTTTATGCACAAAAATCCTAATAGATTTCAAAGAAAAACACTGCAAGGTATATTCCATAATTATTTCGAATATAACATGTATATCATCATGTGAATGCCATATAAAACATTTTGAATGAATGATTTCTTCCTTGATACATTCATGACAATCCATTCTTGGAAGAAAAAACAAGTCCATTTTAAGAAGCAAAATTAGATGGAATCTAATAAGTGAATTCAAATAAAATAAATCCCAGTATTTTATGCACATTGATTACAAAAGATTTCAAACACTGTGAATAATACTCCAAAATGAAAATAAATTGAAGAGATATATGAAGTAATGCATAACATATCCATCTGAAAACTGAAACTGAAAACACTTGAATAGCTATTTCTTGTTTCACTGACAACTGGACAATACTATGTATAAGGGTTAAAAAATTTAAAGATTCATTTATTACGTAAAATCATTTTTAATTTTCATACATATTAACATGCAGTTAAGAAAATCTTTTACTGATTTAGATTTCTGGGTCACAATTAGATATAATATTTTCTTCCCTATCAATTTTATAATAGAATATCCCTAGGTGAAGAAAAACTTCATGAAAAAAGCATGCTGTAAGGTTGGGTTAGGTGATGAAAAAAACAGTACAGGTAGCATCAAGGTAGACTCAATAATACCAACTGGTCAATTTGAATGTCCAAATTGTATTGTCAATTTTACAATCTGGTTGAACAATAGGTAAAGGTAAACAGCAACACATATAGTCAAGTCACAGTAGAAAGAAAACTTTTTATCATTGTGAAAATATGTTTCTCTAATTCTTTCACTATTTTCACATTTCTCAACCGATTGTGAAAAAAATTTTCTCCTCACTAGTGAAATATCTGTTCTCAGCAAATGATTGGTCAAAATTTAATTATGACGTCAAATTTTCTTGATTTCTTCTGAATTTCCTATTGTGACGTCATGAAAAAAGGCGACCATGCCTGATGACTTTACATATAAAGAACACAACTTTCTGCAAATCTTTGAAAAGGAAGGATAAAAATCATTAGAGAAATACAGATTCCACCACTCCAACAAGTGTGTTACAATATTTCTCCACTCGAGACAGTTAAATTTTAATATTTAAAGTGCAAGGCTTGCCAAGCTTTTTTTAAAATAATTAAAATTTAACTGTTGAGAGTGGAGAAATATCGTAATACACGAGTTATAGTGGTGTAATCTGTTTCTCTAATGATTTTTATCCTTCCTTTTCAAAGATTTGCAGAAAGTTGTGTTCTTTATATGTGAAGTCATCAGGCATGGTCACCTTTTTTCATGACCTCACAATAGGAAATTCAGAAGAAACCAAGAAAATTTGACGTCATGATTAAATTTCAACTAATCATTTGCCGAGAACAGATATTTCACTAGTGAGGAGAAATAGTTTTCTCACACCGATCAAGAAATGTGAAAATAGCACAAAAATTAGAGAAACAGATTCCACCACAAGAGCTCGTGTATTACGATATTTCTCCACTCTCAACAGTTAAATTTTAATTATTTAAAAAGCTCGACAAGCCTCACTTTAAATATTAAAATTTAACTATCTCGAGTGGAGAAATATCATAACACACTTGTTGCAGTGGTGGAATCTATATTGGTATGATTGAACATCCTAGGCCATCTTTCAGATCAACTGTAGATAAACAGTATTGAATACGTCTATCCATGACTGATGTTTCCTAGCGTAAGTATATTTACAAAAAAACATTATCTAAGTTAAAAGATAGAACTGTAAGTAAAATGGGTTGTATGTGAAAATCATTGTAGGATCATCTATTACATTATAACCTCAACTTATGTAATGCATTTTTTCCATTTCAAAAGCCTAATTGTTGGAATAAGGGCTATTCCATTAAAATGTATGTGGGAGGGTAGGAAGGGAAGTTTAACTATTGAATGTGGGTCATGGGTCTCTTTTCAGTATGCATCTATTACCATTATGCAAAATTATCTAAAATATGGTTCTTGGTTGTAGGGATATTTTGAAAGTCCCTTCCTACCCTCCCACATACATTTTAATGGAATAGCCCTAATCAAATATGATCTTTTACCATTTTTTTAACTTCTTGAGTGTTCTAATTTAAATACAAATTTTGGCATTTCTTGTACATGTTGATGTTGAATTGGCATTTGAATAGAAAGGATATGTGGTACATGGAGATGAACGTAGGACATCAGTCTCTTGAACTACCTGAAAATTAATCAATATATCAAAGGAACAAAGCTTTGATTGTTGTTCTACGTCTTGACAGTTAAATATAGGTGTTCAACGATGAAGTAAACATCCGACACTTCACAGCAAAATCAAAACATCCCCATTGCACCAAAGTCAAAGACTGTGCATATGTGTTTGAAAAAACATATGCTGGACTCATCAATGTATTGCATTTTAAATATGTTAAGTATTCCTACAAATTTAATCATTCATTGTCCAGAAAGACTTATAAAAAATATCAGAGCACCATTAAGATTTGAACAAAGAAAATTAAGGTTGAAATTGACAATGAAAATCAGTGGACTGCATAAGCATTGTTAAACCATATTTACCCTGGCTTAAATGAAGTATGATGTGAATCGGTTTATAATAAACAGGTTTCTTAAATGACCATTGTTATTACTGTAAATTCAGAAATTATTGCGATGTTTTTATTATTGCGAAAAATGCGACAGGGTTAAAATCGCAATAATTTAAACTCGCATTTTGAAATTTTTCATATGAATTAAACAGGATTTTTCTCAATATCGCAAAATTTAAAATCGCATTTTAGTTTAAAATGACAAAATCGCAATAATAAATGCACGCAATAATTTCTGAATTTACAGTATCTCTTTTTTTTTATATAGGAACAGCCATCAATAGTTATTTCTTCTTTGGAGATACCAGGAACAAAGCTGATAAAGAGATCAAGCAATAACTCTATAAATGGTATGTCCCTAAATTTATGAGCTTGATAGGGTTTCTATCCCAAAAATCATATCCTAATATGGTGCAGTTGCCCAGAGAGTTTAAGAGGGGTGACAATACATGACAGATTTTTTATGCAATTTCTAAGTTATTGATATCATCTTTTGTAAGTGCTTGCAGTCACACCTACATTATTCTACAGATTTTGATGAGTTATTTAGGAAAGGTTTAATTAGCAAAGTATGCCAAGCATGAACTCCGTATATTTAAATCTGGATTTTTAGTCACAACTCTCTTGAAAATTATAAGTTGCATAATGTTGTATGGTGTGAAATTTGTTTGCTTCAATACATACACTTCCAAAATTTATATTCAGAAATTAATTCATTTTTCATAGTTTTGCTCATTTTTGTGAACAAATTATATAATTGAGAACCTGTATTTGACTCTTATTTATACTTTCTTGCAATGTAACTCATGTTTGGAATCATTAGCCTGGTATACTGGCTCACTGCTCAGCAGTAGTGTGCTGTGATTTGCAGATGTCTTCCAATGACATTGATATTTAACTGTTTGATATTTATATTTTTAGGAATAGAAAATCCAGGTTATAAGGATCAAACAGGGGATACAGAATCAATAGCTGTTTCTATGACACTGTCTTCAGAAGATTTGTTATCAGAGGTATAATAACAGTCGATTTATTTTGGTAAAAGTTACAATCAGAAAACAAAATTGCATGCAGACATCATTCAATTGATCTTGAATCAAAGCAGATAATGTTAAGTTATTCAAGGTCAACATAAATTATCTACTTAAACACTTTAGATATATGATTTCACTTTTTTCACAAAAATGTTGGTATTAAATCATGATTATCAAAATTCTCATAGTTTTCTTAAACATGTATGTTTGAGTGACTTTGAATTAAAATTCCTCTGGATGGGAGCAAAGAACAATCACACAATCAATCAAATTCAAATTGGACAGTGATCAAAGGGACATAACTCAATATGAATTATACCAACAAGATAGATAATTATTAGGGGTAAATTCAGTAAAAAATCTCCCATTGACTTTAATGCTAATCTATGTCTTGAATTAAATTTATACCTGATTTACCTTTAGAAATTGGAAGCTTTCATATATCATTCATGAAAGTACAAATGTAGCCCTATCTTTTGCAACAATAAAAACATAGGGTCATGCGGCATTTTTGGGCATTCACATGGCCTTGTTTACAAACGCTGTAGATTCGCACTTAATTCCTTTACTGACCCCCATTACTTTTCAACCCTGTAGTAAAAAAATTTAGTACATTCAGCATTCATTTTTTATTTTTTTTTAACTCTAGTTTTGATCCATCTATCAAAAAATATTTATTACAAACATTATCTACCAATCAGAAGAGCACAGGACTTCAGTTTTGTACAGAAAGCTCTCCCCCAAATGGGCGGTCCCTGATGACGTATATTTTTTTACTGAATTCACCCCTATAATTATTGTAGTAAATAAACCATTTTGTAAGATGTTTCGGCCACTGGCCTTCTTCAGTTTCTTTATTATCCTTCCTAACTACATGGTAGACATTTTGCTTTCATGTTTAATAATGATTTAATACCAACAGATAATTATTAATCATGTTCATATATGCAAGTTTGAAATGTAAATCAGAATAAGGAATTTTAAAATGTTTTTTTTTTCAGTCAGCAAGTTTAAAAAGAACTAGTCGAATGAGGACTGAAAGTGCAGCAGCTATAGCAGTATTACGTAACCAACGACTACCGAGGTTACCTAGGTCACAGGATGATACAGACACTTTAATTAACCATGACTCTGTTGTGATTTATACAGAAAGGACAGCCCTATGACCAAACTTCTTTTATTTCATTTCACAATGATCAGGAATGATCTAGTACATAAACACAGTATTGACAGATAATGTTATTCCAGTTAACAACACTTAGGAATGAACAATTATTGTTACATAAATACAGCATTCTGTTTTGTTTCATTTTCATTTTTTGATCTCATTACATCAGTCATCTGTGTCCAAACAAAACAAATCAAAAGACAAACCTCTAAGGGTTCAGATTTTAAAAAGGGGGGAGATGGGAGAGAGGGGATCATTTGCATATTCACCAAACTTAATCTCATCTTTTGTTTGTCCATTTTTGGTACAGTGTAACCATTGACAGAACTGATTTTACCTTTATATCCTACAGCTTTCAGATTTGTTTTGTTTTTGGTTAAAATTGTCACTGATTGAAAATTATTGCATAAATCAACAACTTACAAGAGAAAAGATCAACTGACTTTAGGATTTTTATCTAGAACAACCCATACTCATATTTTCTAGATACCACTGTTTTTTGTCATTTATGCACTTGTAAAAGTTGTAAAAAATTTTGAATGTAACAACTGAATTAATTTTAGGTTATAATGTTTTATGATGAACATTTTATTTCTTATTTAGCAAGCTATATTACAGCTTAAAGTTGTTTTCATTTAAATTTTTACTTCTCAGAAATATATTTTCTTTATATCATGATAAGAAAAAAAATGTTGCATAAGATCTAGCAATTATGCCTTAAAGATAAAAATAAAAAAGTCATTATAGAATGTCTATTCAAAAGAAACAAGAAGTTCTTAAGAAAAGAATTAAAATTTTGGTTGCAGAATAGAAAAAAATATTCTTGTCTATCAATTTGAATACTGTGGATTCATTTATTTTCGTGGGTACCAATTTTCGTGGAATGAGGAAAACTTGCACTTTCTTGGATATTTGATTTTGTGGTTTTCCAAAAGTCTGCATATATTCATAAAGCAAATTTGTAATTCGTTGAATATTTCAATTTGTGGTTTCCCTGTACCCACGAAATCCACGAAATTGGTATACAACGTATGATAATGAATCCACTACTATGATTTGTGGGGTACCAATGATGGTGGATTTCGTGGCCATAGTTAAACTGCAAATTTAAATGTTACAGTTTCTATAAGCCTGTTTGCTGACATAAGCAAAAACAGGAAATCAAATGTTCATGACAAAAAAAATTTTCCTCAATCCGAAGTAGTAAAAGTAAATAGAAATATTATGCAATAGATACATCTAGCAAGATGTTATATTATTGAATGTTTGACCAGATAAATCCGTACAAGATGTTTTACTAGTAAATGTTTGACCTTAAAAAACTTGATAAGAAGGTTCATTTTGTATAACTGACATGTTAATTTGATCAGTGCCTTTTTACTATTTTTATAAAATGTTATATTTAATGATGTGTTCAGATTTTCAAGAGAAATTTAGAAAATTTATTGATTTTTGTTGATGTTGGTTGTATAATAATGAAGCTGTTGCATGCATAGTTGCCATTTTTAAGAAACAAGACTGATAGATTATTGATTGCTTAACATCGTGTCATCACTCTATCAATGAGAAATCTTGTTACATGACAATCATGCCAAAAAGGGTAAACAATATTTATTGTCAGAATTTTTTTGGTGAAAATTATACAGATGAGGTGTATAACTATTATAAACTTAATTATATTCCTTATTTGCATGTCTGGCTTAATGCAAAACATCATGACATTGCCTGGTGCATATTCATGAGTATGACAGTGTAAGGAAAAGTTGCATGAGAAAAGTGTAAAATGAAGATTACGTTCTGTAACAAAGCTGGTTGAGTGTTAATTATCTTTTCATTGAGGGTATTATTTGCACCTTGCAGGAAGGATGAAATGGGGCTTGATTTTTAATAGCAGCAAATTTCAAGTGATGATGAGTTTTTAAAGTCTTATTTTATCACTTTGGCTAATGATCCAACTGAATGTAAATATGTCAGTGTTGGAAATGACTTTTATAGTAAATCCACAGATGTTATTAATATTAATATTATGGTATTACTTTGTTAAAATACATTTTTTTTTCCTGATGTATTGAAATGTTAAGTACTTATTACAACATACTGATGTATAAAAATAGATATCAAATTCAATATAATGTGTGCATTTATTAAACAGAATGTTTTCCTTTGATCAATATAAACTTTTCTTACACAATATTTCATGAGTGTGATTCACCCTACTTATTCAGGTCTCTTAATGTTCAGACTTCAAGCTAAAGTATACATGTTTTTATATTTTCGGAAGTTGAAAAATACCAACTTAAATTTGAAATAACTTTCCTATTTTGAATTCTCAGTTAACCAGAAAATTATATATTGTATTTGTATGTATGATTGGTGTGAAGGATGTAAAAGAATAGTTTTAAAAGGTTTCGGAAGAGACTTTTATAATTAATCATAATATTATTAATGTGATATTTCTTAATGTTGTGACTCTGAAATAAGTACAGTTATATCAGTACAGTATCTTTATATACCACTGCTTTCCTCTAATGGCAAATTCATTAATTTCCTCAGAGTGTTTAAGCATTTCCAAAATATAAACCATGTTATTGAAGATGTTTTAAGAACACCACGGGAAATGTCTAATCTCAGGAAATTGATGAAATTAGGGAGTGACTGCCAGTGGAATTTTAGAATTTTATCAATATGTGACTGACAAACATTTTAAACTACCTTCTCATACTACATTCATAAAGAAATTACATCAAGGCATCCATTTAACAGACTTACAAAAAATTTACGAATTCAAACAGCTTCTATTTTGTTATTGAGATAGCTGGATAACTATTGTCAGGTATTTCTGTATTTGTTATTGAGATAGCTGGATAACTATTGTCAGGTATTTCTGTATTTGTTATTGAGATAGCTGGATAACTATTGTCAGGTATTTCTGTATTTGTTATTGAGATAGCTGGATAACTATTGTCAGGTATTTCTGTATTTGTTATTGAGATAGCTGGATAACTATTGTCAGGTATTTCTGTATTTGTTATTGAGATAGCTGGATAACTATTGTCAGGTATTTCTGTATTTGTTATTGAGATAGCTGGATAACTATTGTCAGGTATTTCTGTATTTGTTATTGAGATAGCTGGATAACTATTGTCAGGTATTTCTGTATTTGCACATTTCTTTTTATATTAAGATTCACTTTTGATAAACATAATGTAAGATTTATCTCCAAATTTTTTTAAAAGGTTTTAAAAATATTTTGGTATTACCAAATTTTGGTTATCCCCTACTTTCAGTTATCAGTATGGTTTGTGTATTACTTTCCACATCATGAAGAGATAACAAAATATGAAAATGTATCTTTCTAAATAACTTCTACTGAAATAAGTCCATGAGAAAAGCTTATATTTTTGTATTTCAAATCATGTGAAAGTAAAAAAAAAAAAATCAATTCAAAGATGTGAATAGTTTCAAAATATGAAATAATGAAGAGCATGCACTTGAAAATTTAATAATATTTAGACAGATATCATTAAAAATGAGTGTTGATGCACCCAAAACAACTGGATTTAACTTTGTATATTCTAAGATACATGAAAAGAAATTATTGTCTTGTTTGAAAGCTGTCATGATACAATTAATTTTTAAATAGAAAAATAAATATTCTTGGTTGTCTTAAATGCAATGTGTAACCGAGGTGGAGAGATGAATAAAGGGTATATACTATATACATATAATGTGCACTTGGTTGTTGTAACTTAATGTAATTTATTCAAATTTATTCAGTTAGTGAGTATTATTAAAGTTGTTATTACTAGTGGAATCATTTATATATGAATTCCCATGTTATCTTCACTGAATTTTCTCTGTTGGAATCATGTAATAATCTTTCCAGGATTCTTTAGGCCACATTCAGGCAAACATAAGAACAAAATGATCCTGTGGGGAAGTTGTCATTTATTTGTTTTATCAATTGGACCCTAACTTGTCAAAATCATTCTTTGAAATGTGCATAAAAGAAGATGTTAGGCTTACAGGAATGAGACAGCACCTATCAATACAAAAATTATAAAGAACAATTATGGTCAACATACAGTGTTAATCAATATGTAAGGCATATGTCAAGCAATAAGTTTGTGAATATTTTGAAAATTAATCTAAATGATCTACCATCAACATGACATTCCTACATAGAAAACAAACTTAACATATATATATATATACACAAAGACAACATTTGAACGAGATATTAAGGACATGGAGTATATCTTAATCTTGAAATGGTATGGTTAGTTCTCCCATTATTCAAGTTGCATGTTACAAATTAAAAGTTGAAGAAAAAAACACAACAAAAGCAGTTCATAAAAAAAGCAATTAGTGCATTGATACTTAGAGGTATTCCAAGTGTAAAAATGCAGCAACAAGTAACACAATACTAAATAATACCATATCAATGTATGTTCGCAGTGCAGGTAGATTGAAGATTTGTTGCTACTGATATATAAATCATGCTTTCATAAGCTTTCATATCATTAATCTTTTTCCAAAAATATTCACTACAGCAACATCGAGAAAAGTAAAGAATGACAACTGATTTTAATGTACAAAAATAAAATACAGACGCAAATTAAGAAATGCAGCAACTAATCTTTTTGCAAACTATATAAGATGGCAGATATCAATTTTACGAAAATACAAGACAATGGTTTAATAATTATAGCAGAATAAAGTTGGATGATGTCAGTATTGAAAACAGTATTCTCATTAAAATCGGAAAGGGTCAAACGAATATATATAACCAATATAGGAATGGACATATCACATGAAAGAACAAGAAACATTAGGACAAGAAAAGTCCCATTTGTCATAACTATTTGAAATGGGATTCTTTTTTATAGAATTCTTATCAAAAAGGTAACGATCATCCTAATTCAATCACTGAATTTAGTAAAAGTAAGTTTAGAAGGGTACTTTTCATTGGTATTACGTGTTGGTGGAAACATTTGAAATTGAATTTGAGAGGTCATGTCCAATATGTCTAGGTATTCTTATAAAAAAAAAACAATCAAGCGGTGTTTTCTTTGACCTTATAGAGATCAGAAATCATCTGCATGTTACCGATTTCTGTTCTCCAGACATGTTTTGTTTTGGGAATCCGTCAAGTTCAAAAAGTTTGAGAAGCCAAATAAATCAAACGTTTAAAAGCATCAAAACAAACTAAAAAAGAGACGTCAACTCAGAACAATCAAATACATTTATATTTTGAGGAAATTTTGCATCATTTCGTTGACATTTCAAGTTTTTGTTTGATGTTGTAGACAGTATTCAAATGCTGAACTTCTATAAAAACAGAGGTATCATACCGATGTTTAGTTAATATCATAAAAGTCTAGCTAAGGTATAACACAGGGTAACATTGAAGTGAAAAACAAAAATGCCGATCACGACCAGGGAGACCAGATGCGTTGACAGTGTATGCATTAGACACCCGTCACAGGGTTCCAAAGACTAGTTGAGTGTCAGTGCCAGACACATAACTGATAATGATATGAGAATTAACACAGTGGATAAAATACATATTTCATGCCAGTACTGAAGTTCTTAGCTGGGCTGTAGCAGGGGATCCTAGCTCACTGCTTGCCTGTCGCGAAGGTTGGGCCAGTATCCCAGGTTAAGCTGGGCAGGTGATATCCTATAGTAGTTCCAGTCCATCAGCAAAGGTATCGACCTAATGATAATAACAGCATGACAGATAACTAACTTTACTGCACATTGGCCAAAGCATTTGGATAACCAAAACCTAATGCAATCTTTGAAGAGATAATATAATCGAAAACGACCAAAAGTATAGCCATACATGGACAAGGAATTAGATCTATGCACGATAGAGATTTATTCCTTCAACTCAAATGATTTCCAAATTTTTTATTTGGAAGCGCAACTTTGGAACTGATAAAATGTTACAATTACATGTCAGTAGAAAGTCAATCCAAATTTAACACTGCATCCATATTAAGTTAGGTTGAGTAAATCAAATGAGAGTAAATTTTTTAAAGGCAGTTATCTTTTATGACCATCGTGTCAAAGTAGACAAAGCCTCTGCAGCAATGTTTTTCAACACAAATGCACGTTGATATCCACAATATTCTCATGCAATGCCTGAATAACATTAACGGTAGACATTTTACTGCACCAGATGCGCATTTCGACTTTAAATGTCTCTTCGGTGATGCTCGAGGCCAAAATATTTTAAAATCCAAAACTTATAAAAATGAATAGCTTATAAAACCGAAAGAACAAACTATATAAACAAAGCCGGACAGGGAGTCAGAGATTTGCATGAGGGAAATATTTTCCTTAATTTTGAATCATTTCAAATTGGTAATAGCAAATTTTAATAATAACACAATATCAGTGTTTTCATGCAAGTTCCGAAGTAGTAGCAACTGGGCTGGTGATACCCCGGGGAGTAAAAGTCCACCAGCAGAGGTATCGACCAAGTGGTAGTTATGATACTTTTTTCCTTGTCCATACCCTTACCTTACTATATGGTATAAGTTTTGCTCATTGTTGAAAGCCGTACGGTGACCTATAGTTGCTTACGTCCACGTCATTTGGTCTCTACTGGATAGTTGTCTCGTTGATAATCATACCACATCTCATGGATTTTTATATAGAAAATAACATAATTGATAAACGTTTTATTGTTATACTGACTGGTATTTGACTGCATAGATGTTTTTATCAACTAGTTGTCTTCTAAGTCAGCTGAAAATATATCAAAGAGAAGTTATTTTTTTTAAATTTACGTTTATTTTCTACTGTCATAGACTTTTTTTGTTAATGATAGGCGAAGCCAAGGATGCACATTTTAACTTTTACCTTTTTCAACGGTCATGTTGATAGTATTCTTAGTATACATATACGATGTTGTGTTGCTCGTTGTTGAAGGCCATGCGCACGGTGACTTGAAGATGTTTGATGTTCAACTAAAAAACATCTTTCAAAGTTCTTACCGCTATCCTTTCTGAAGTGAAAAAACGGCCTTCAGAAATATTGTTATAGGTATATTCAACCAGTGGTATCAATCAGATGTGGATTCTCAAAAATTCCAAAGATCTACTGTAAAATCTTTAAACACAACCTTTTCAATTTTGCAATAATAGAAACATTTGATTTTACTACCCTTTACACAACTATTCCCCATTCTCAATCGAAGCTTTTTTTAACACAAAAATAGGACTAGTAGATACAAATTTCTTGGTTTATGTCAAGAAAAAACCACACTGATTTAAAAAAAACAAATACACATGGATGATACCATCAAGTTGCTGGACTATTTCATCGACAACATATTTATTGAGGTTGGTGGATTGATATTTCACCTGACAGTTGGTATTCAAATTATACACCCTACTGGCGAACTTGTTTTTGTTCTCATGAAGATGTTTTCATACGACACTTTCTCAAAGATAAAGAGAGAAACATCTTGCAAAGTTCTTGAATTTTACTTTAAGACATATTGATGATGGCCTGTCAGTCAATAAACCACATTTCAGTGAGTGCTTGCGTTTAATATATCCTAGTGAACTTGAGATTAAGGATACAAATGTAACGAAAAGGTCTGCTTCACATTTTGATCTTTTCCTTGATATTGACACAGGTTGACGACTTCAAACTAATATCTTCGACAAATGTGATGATTTCAACTTTCTAGTTGTCAACTTCCCAATTCTCAACTGTTAAATACCCTCTGCCGCATCGAATGGCGTTTAAATGTTAAGTTACGCTCGTGCATGTTCACACTACTATTGATTCATATATTTTCGTGGATACCAATTTTCGTGAATTGAGGAAACAATTGTATTTCGTGGATATCTGATTTCAAGGTTTAGCCAAAATTTGCATACAAATCTATAGTAAACGTGTACTTATTTGACCATTTGAATTCGTCGTTTTTCTATACCAACGAAATACACTGAAATTGATATCCCACTAATAATAATGGATCAACAGTATAAGGACTACATTAGCAGGGGTGTATTCCTTACATCAAAACTTCAACACCAGCGTTATGAGGAAGAACGACTAAAATCGACACTACATAAGTTTAACAGTTATTTGACCGATACGATATGTCAATCAGGGGCGGATCCAGGATTTTGGAAAGGGGGGGCTAAGTATGTAAAGATCGAAAAAATTTTTGGACCTTTTTTTGGCTGAAAAACATAAAATAAGTGTAAAATGCACTTTTTTAACGGTTCCTGACGTAAGGCATGTATATTTTATAGTTAAAGTGTAAGGGTTGGACATTTTTGATGCCGTATTCTCCTCATTAATTGTCTATTATAAAATGATTGGATGGATCCAAAGCTATGTAATAATATATTTGATGTGGGACTTGTCAGTAAAAAATTGACATGGAAAATTCTCGTTCGTTGTATGTTTAGTTAGCATAACGTCACGGATTTCTTGTTGTAAACAAGATATACGTCGGGCTATTCAATGAAATTTACAATACGACCGACACGAGTTAAGAAAGACAAACAAGCAATTTTTATCCAAATGTTTGGTTGAAATGTTTCACCCAACAAGGGAAGTGAGGAGTCCAAATCAATCAAAGGCTACGCATGAGCCTGAAATGACAACGAATATATGAAGGACGGTCGACAAATGGAGACATAAAGGCCACACCCAGCAGGCAGGTTGCAGTCGGGCCTTGAAAAAGTATTCATTTTATCAGTTCGACGAAACAGACATTCCGGTCAGATATGGGATTTACATACAAACCCCCGGCCCCAAAAAAATTACGCCCGTTTTTTTATTCATCATATTCATTTAATGCTAAATAATTCTGTTGGAAAATTTGTTTCTAATAGCAAAAAAAGTGGACAAGATTATTGTTTTCAATCCAGATACGGCCAGAATTTTTGTTTAGGCAGATTTTTTTCTCTCAAACATCTCAGACTGCCCCTTTAAATCAAATGGTCCGTACCTTAGACTTTAAATCTATCTAGAGCTTATTGACTGGGGATCATTTTTCGGCTATGTTATTAATAGGCTGGGGCGTGTTGGGTTAAACATGTTTTCGTAGGTAAATAATATTGCTGTGGAACTTTTTTTTTCATGAAAGTGTAATAGAGTATTACTTTCTGTTCGGTGGAATTGTGAAATAGAAGTCAATAAATACGTTCTTGCTCAATCCATTGTCGCTTTGAATGTGTCAAGCTTATCATCCCCAGCCTAAGCAATGTGTTACTGCAATTTGAATTTCAAAATGACTGAGTGACATGTTTTCGACGCACTGGTCAACTCCACCGTAGCGAATCACATGATTTTGACATAATCAATAATATATTACAGTAAATACGAGCGAAACATATCTTTATAAGTAAAGAATTGTCGCATAAAAAATAAATACGCGGAAAATGGCAAAGTTCACGAAGTCTAGTCTGATTAATCATTTTACAAAAAAAAAAAAAAAGGTTCAAGAAAAGGGGGGGGGGGGGGGCGTACGCCCTCTACGCCCCCCTCTGGATCCGCCACTGTTAAAATAGCAAAATAAATTCACGGTATTTAGATACATGAATAGTCGGTTATTCTGTAAATTTACCGATTGTGTCTTTTCCCGATTGTGTCATTTTCCCCCGATTGTGTCATTTTCCCCCGATTGTGACATTTTGTGTGTCGATTCGCATAGCAGGTGATGCATGCATAGCAGAGGAATTTTACCCTGTTGACGCACGCGGTCTCCTCTCTTCTCTTGTTTCTGCTCTTATAAATCATTGGCTTTGAAATATTTCACTTTTAGGGTTCCTGATGATGGTAAATCCAGAAAACCGTTGCGGACGCATACAGTTTACAAAGTGTTATTTATTTTTTTGTCATTTCCTCAGTTTTTGTTTGTTACCTTGATTTTATCATCTTAATCGATTTTTGAGATTTGAACATCAGTAAACTTCAGTAACTGTTGCCTAATTAACACCCTTGTCTTGTGATCAGTGGTTGAGACAGTTTCATTACATTGGCAATCATACCATATCTTTTTTCGATATGGACTACTTCATTTCTATAGTTCAAAATCTTATGTGATCAAACGTTAGTTGTTTTTTTTCATTCTCAGTTTTGTTAAATTTTTCATTTCCATTACTATATTAACTTTTTTGTAATGAAATTGATTAAACTTATATATAAATCTCATAGAAAGCCAGAGCAAGAATGTATACTGAAATTTGAAATTTAAATGTTTTCAATATTGTCATTTTTAAGGAGAACCATATTACAACATTATTATTGTTATCTAGTACAATTTCAAATTAAGATTAAAAAAAAGGAAAGAACTTAGCTCAATGCCTAAATGAAAACAAAATTGTAATCTTAATGGTAACATACCAAGTCGAACCTCGTCGTCCAGTGAGCGTCTTCTTCCCCAACACGGGTAGGAATATGTCTTACAACAGTAGCTATATTTACACAAACATACCCTCTGATAGCAAGTTTTTCCTTCCACGGCGTGCGGAACAACTTTGAAAAAATGAAATTTATTGAATATTATTAACAACTGTCACGCCACGGCAACTTAAAAACAAAATAGACGTATTCAATAACATTACCTACGGTCAAGTCCATATTATATATTTATTTCCCGTGCCGGAGGGAGATATGAAGATTTGTTCACCCAAGAATATTTTTCGAGGGTGAGCAAATCTTCATATCTCCGGAGGCAAAGGGAAATGAATGTTTTATTCCACTGCCTATGCTTTGTTTACTATCAATACATTAAATATTATTTTGCATACATTTATTTTCTTATCCGCTTGTTTTTGTAAGTCAAACTAAACACGACATACTCATTGATAAACAGTAAGGATCAAAATTTAATTATAAGTCTTTTTGTTTTATCGTCTGAGATAAATTTGAACATGATAATGATTTTTGCTATCGCTATTTTAAGAAGAATAAGAAGTTCAAAACGTTATGTACATCAACCGCGCTTAACGTCGCACGAAGTAATCCCGATATTTCAGAGGGTAATATGATCCTCAGAATGGAATATGAAGATTTGTTCAATGACACGTGGGATAGTCTCAACCAATGAAATATTGATTAAACTATCAATATGTTTAAACAGTGGAATAAAAAGTTTTTTTTTTCTTCTTTAATTTTTGATTTTGTTTTTGCTTGTTGATGTTTTTAATTTGGTAACATGACATCTTTACATTTTTTGTTTCTTTTTATTAAGAAAGAATATATATATACATTATTTCTGAAATTAGATCTTACAATTATATAGTTATATCTCCGTCCTGAACTATGCTTGGAATAGCATATTTTCTATATGATACTCAGCAGTTTCAGCTAGCCAAAAAGCCAGGTTTAACCCACCACTTCGGAAAATGCCTGTACCATGTTATGAATATGGCAGTTGTTTTTCACTTGTTCCGTTGATTGATAGCGTTTGATTTTATCAGTTTTTATGGACTTCCCCTTTTTGAATTTTCCTTGGAGTTCGGTATTTTTGTTATACTTTTTTTTCTTATAAAGGAATCGATTTAACCATATTCACATTCATATCAACCGAGACTGATTCAAATGAAGGTAGTATTTCAAAAATAAAGTATAACGACCACTCACGGAATGAAACTAAATCAATCGCAATTGATTCTACCGTTTATCGTTCGTAATCAGAACAGTTGCGATCGATTGCAATCGGTTTCGGGACTATATACATGTAAAGGCATAATTAGTTTAAACTGTTTGAACTGATCGTGATTGATTGTTTCAATTGTTTATATCACCGTTCTTATTAAAATAAGTCTATTTAAGATAACCGCTTTCAACGGAACTTTTCGTTATGGGATAGTATGAACACCTTATTGATCGAAATCGATAATTTTTGTAAATATAAAACGATGTAAACCATATCGATGTTTATTGCTCGATGCTTCACAAGGAACAGTCAAAACAAAAGCGAAAAATGTATAAATACTAGGAATATTTACACCAAAAGGGGTCTGAAAAGAGAAACCAAAAACCCATATAAACAATGATCATGTCAGCCAGATTTGATACGGCACAGTAAACGAACACAAGAGCAAATGTTTTTTTGTTTTGTTTTGAAAACTGTCGAGGATTAAAATTAGGATACTATAAGGAAATAAACATTTCTTTGCTTTTTGTGTGTTTTTTTACTGTGAGTGTACTGATTTTGTGTCATGGATGGATACCCCATATCCTTTGTTTTTCTATTGAATAATTTCCCCAAAAAATTAAGATTACAATCTGAATGAAATAAATGTCTGTCATTGTGGCCGAGAATGTAAATACAACAAGAAGTGACACGCATGGTCGTGATATGAATACCGACACGTACTTCGGACGCACGAGATTAAAAAAGTGTTATTCTGATTCACTAGCACTGGCTCGATACCACTGCTAGTCCCTTATGGTATCATCAACCCAGAACAAAAGTATCAACATAAATACTGAACTCCAAGGTAAATTAAAAAAGGGGAAGTCCATAAAAACTGACAAAATCAAACGTTAGGCTTTATCAACCAACACAATGAGTGGAAAACAACTGTCATATTCCCGACTTGGTACAGGCATTTTCCAAAGAAATGGTGTATTAAACCTGGTTTTATAGCTAGCTTAACCTCCCACTTGTATGACAGAAGTCAGTGCTTTGATACTGACATGATTTGTAACAAACTTTTCAAAAATTATCTGTTGAAAAATTCCGAAATTATTAAGAACTTAAGGTTCCAACTCACTCAGGCAAAGTAGACCTTAGATGAATTTGGCTGCATGTTTTATTTTTATGTTCCTTTTGGTCATACAGCTCTTCACGTGTTTTAGGTCTACAACTTGGCTTTCAAATGTTTGGGTTAGAGCGTTCCTGATGAAGGTAAATCCAGAAAAGTGCTTCGGTAACACGAAATTCATAAAATGTTATTTTCATTTACTAGCACTAGGTCGATACCACTGCTGATGGACTGCTAGTCCCAGCGGGTTTCATTAACTCAGTAGTCAGTACTTTATCAAACATTGCTTAAATTCTCCGTTGATAAATTCAGAAATTATTAAGAAACTAATGGTCCAACTCCCTCAGGTAAATTTGACCTCAGTTGAATTCTGCTATTTCTTTTATGTGTCTTTTGGTCAAATAGCTGTTTAGATCTTATGCATATTTCGCATTCATATATTTGGGATTGAACGTTTCTGATGAAGGAAAATCCAGAAAAGCGCGTCGGACGCACGAAATTGATAACGTGTCATTTTCATTTTAATCAAAAGTATCTAAAATCCAGAAGTAAGTGTCTGACGAAACCAATAAACCCTTAATACATGTTACAAGTAAACAATGTGTGACAAAAATATTATGTTCATTCAACATGTTGAACAATCTAAAGTGTCATAGGAGGCATGTGCATGGCAGATTCGAAAAGCATTTACACATTACAACTCATCATTGTCAAGCTGCTGATCAAATACGAATTCACTCTGTTCATGAGTAAAGTATGACGGAAATATGTGTCGAGCGAACGGACGGAGAATGTGATTGTAATATAGCCTCACTCCCAGAGTGTGGATATGATATAATAATCAAGAAAAGGAGATGTGTTTAAAAGTCAAAGAGAAAAAAACCGACAATACAAGTCAAACGAAATTAGCATCTTAGTAAATAAGAGTAGCAAAGTCATAACAAAAATTAAGTAACGAATATAATTTGTTTAAAACTTACTCAGTAGACCAGCAAGAAGCAGAAACATCACAAATTTCAACATTTCTCACCTTTTCGTAATTATAGCTCTGCTACAAAATATACAAAATCAGTCATTTTTATGATAGGTATGTCTAATAATGTCAACTAGATTTTATATTTGAAGGTTAGCTGTTAATTATTATTTGATTATTTTTTACAATTTAATCATTTCTGTATAAAAAAAAGATGACTGTTAATTGACAAATATCTTCAAATCGAATTATTTCGAATTCATAAATATACGTTTAAAACCATTACATAGTTAAATAAAACTGATATAAAATCTATCGCAACTTAAATGAATATCCATAACAGAAGTGATTAAACATATATTACTTACATCTATATACAATTTTAATTGATATCTGAATTCATTATTATTCTTGTTTTGTCTATATTTATTGCCAAAATATATTGATTGATACATCTGTAATGGAACAACATGTGGTATCAAACAATATATTCCCAGAATAAAAATTTGATCAAGGTTACATACAATTAACAGGAAATTGAATTAATGACATGATATCAGTTACAGGTATATTAAATACATACAATTTAATGGATGAATATATGTGCAATTTTTCACCAATATTCAAAATGTTCCATGAATTTTCGGTTTAAGAATTTTATGTTTTTAAAAATTTATTTAATATAAATTTGAGAGTTATAGTTTCTAAAACGACACCCGCCAAATGAGACGTTATGCGCTTAAATGATCTTTAATGAGTTGCTTTATGTTTATCTACTGTTTAAGAGAAAATAAAACAAATTAGTTTCTTTCTTATTTCTAATCGCAGCTAATTATTCTAAATCAAAGATGAAAAAATAACTATTTCTAATATGTAAAACAATAACATATTTTTTTAAGAACTTCTGTTAATTATTCTCTTCAAGAATCAATCAGATCTATTAGTCAGATATATACTTTAGCCCATTATCGTTTATATGTGCATTTCTAAAACATATCGAGTCCTCCACATGTTGGTGAGTAGGGGGATTCATTTGTTTTACAAACGCACGGTAGACGATAAAGGGCTATACATCTAATGAATGAAAATATCACTTTATAGATTAGGTGAGTTCGAGTTGCATATCTTATAACAATAAAATATTAACGATATAAATAGACTGTTACTTTTGCAACTTAACAATATGTGGTATAAGATAATTTCTTCCCAGAATAAGAAAAAACATGATCAATGTTATATAAATTTAATTGGAAATTGTATACCAGATATCAGTTACCTGTTTAAACACATATACAGTTAGATTAATAAAAGTTGAATGTGTAGTGCCATGTTATTGTTGGTTGTTTTTGGTCGGTTTTCTTTTTGTTCACGGCGTTGTCTGTTTTTATTGGAAAATGTATTTTGTGTTACCCTCTTGGTATCTTCTGTCTTTTTAAATAAAAATAACAAGAGCTTGACTCACAAATTAATTCGGCCTTGAACAGCTAATAAAATGCTTCAATAATACCTGATGCCAACACTTATATTGGATATATTACAAAATGCTTGAAATTTCTTACTTAACAGTGCGTAAGTATGAGTTGCTTGTTTACAAATCTAAATGTCAGGCATGATGCATAACAATGTAATATTCTTCGTAATATTGACAATAATTTGAATTCTATAACACTGTTTGTTTAAAAATTACACGGAGCACTTGCTAAAAAGTCTTGTAAATTAATATTATGAGATGTCGTTGTTGAGAAACCTAAAAATTCTGTCACTATTACACAAATCGTAGAAAATAAAGATATGATGAATGCGTACCGTACCCCTCTTTTAAACATTTGATCTCACCTCTAACATTACTAATACACTGCAACGAACGGTGAATTTGAAAATTTAATGGACCGACATACATCATGACTGATTTTTGTCTTAAATTGAAGATAAATATAACGTTCTTCGAAAAAGCCTGTCGTAGAGTGCTTCATTGTTGCAGATTTTAGAAATCTTGATCAAAAGATCCGAATTGGCGATTTTTGTTATATTTTGACAATTTTTCGGACATCCCTCCTAATTTTTTAAACAATTCAACGGAAACATGTTCTTGGATTTTTGTATACATTTAGCTTTTTCCTTCTTCGCCTGATTACCAAAGATTAGTGATTTATAACTCGCTTCAAACAAGTGAGAAATTACTAAATCTATCTACCTCCCATGAAATTTTAAAGCAATTTTTCAAATCTTAAATTTAAATATGCGATAATACTCGACAACATTGTTAAACATTTTCAGAACAGTTTGGTTGACATCCGATAAAAAAACAAAGAAGAAAGAGTAACATCCATAGTAAAAACCCAAAAGAAGATTGAAGCCATTATAATAATCTTGATGTGTAAATGTCCAAATCATATATTTGATCTTGAATTTAGATAACAACAATCAATACATTCATTTGTTTTTCTCAAAATAAACAAGTTTTTTTTGTATTATTGATTAGTAACTGAAATACATGAAATTTAAAACCCAAACAGTACATTTAAGTTTTTTCCCAGAATACAATTCATGTCAGCCCGACTTCTGTGTTGACATAAATTATCATTCATATTGTCATATTTATGAATTTACTGTTTACAAAACTTTAAATTGTTCGAAATACCGTATAGCGGGTTATTTTCGCGGGGTGTTTATTTTCGCTTATTTTGGCGGGTCAGGGGAAATCGCGAAAATAAATTCCGCGAAAATTTATGCATACGTTCGATTCTTTCTAATAGCTAAAGCGTTTTGTAAACTATCTATTTTTTCGAGTTCGACGGATCATGTTAATTTAAACAACATAAATGCCAAAGGCCATTGTTCACTGGCTGTCAGGTCTTAATTAGTTTATTGGTTACATAATGAAATAAATAATAATATAAGAGTGTAAGGTACTCTGTCAGGTATTTTATCCTTATTAATTAGTGTCAAATTATATAAGAGTTGCAAGTCACTCATGATAATTTTATAATCTCAATAGTACATCAAAGGTCGAGTCAATTTCGTAACTAATCGACCGTAACATTTACAAGATGTTTGTACACCTGTGACAAATAACTATGTACCGGTATTCTATTGATTAATTTATCAAAATATAATCAATAAATAAGACGTCATGCAGGTAAAACAATCATTTAACAATAACAATTGACCCTTTTTTGTCAAGTTTTACTTTTTAACTGCAACCATTTCAGTATCCGCCAAAATATTTAATTGGGATTAAAGAATCCACCAAAATAAAAACCGCCAAAATTTTTCGTATACTTTGTTGCCCTTAAATTGCGAAATTTTACACCCGCGAAAATAACCCGCTATACGGTAATAAGGATTTTCGATCACAAAAATATATTACATAAGCTGTATATGGTAAAAACTTTCGGAATTTGTGGCCCTTAACGCCTAGATGGCCTTTTACTGTTTTAATTCAAGTCAGTGATGAGTATTTTGTAGACAAAACGCGCGTCTGGCGTACACAATTATAGGTCTGGTATCTTTGATGACTTTTTTCTTGTGTAGTAAATAATACATTTTTAAAGCTGTTCATGTTATCTTGTCGAAATACTAAGATCATGATGAATATACACATCAAAGACATAAATAAAGGAAGAAACTGGGTGATCAAATGAAACAACAATACAAAAACACTAGGTTGTCGAAAGTATATTCACAGGTCACTACATGACTTTAGATAATGCGAAGGCATACATATATTTCTTAAAACGAATGTTATTGGGCTATGCCTATATAATATACTCTTTTCAAAAGACTGGATTTGATTACAGCTCAATCACTTAGTTTAACTATTTGCTTATCTAGTATATGATAATTTAGTATTTAAGTTTTCTGGTTTGATAGTTGAAACAATCATCCTAAATTAGCTATTGTGAATATGGAGACAAACTAGTGAAACAAGTTTTCAGTCATATCCTATGCCGTTTTGATTGACTCATAATTGCAGAAGCACCATTGTTGCATAAGCCGACTTTGGATTTGTAGTACAGGAAATAGATCTTTAAGTCGAGTTCATAAATGACTGTAAAGTTCCCCGACAATGAATGTCACATTATGGGAATCAAAACATTTACCCATTTCCATTAATTACCTCTGTAAGTATAACCTTGTCAAAAAACAAAACTAATAGGATCTTTTTAAACCGAAAGCGATTTGTCAGAATAGAATTTTTTGCAAAGTTTTAGTCTATTTATAGTTTCCGTGACCTTAACCTTTGACCTACTGACTTCGAAAATCAATGAAATCTTCTTTCGAGTGGCATTATCCATCATAGATTGCTGAAGATTAGTATGCTGCGGAGGCCAGAAAAATATGCTTAACAACAGATGAAAATGAATAGTCAAACAACAAAAAATCCTCATGCCTTTCCAGAATATCAAATGGTCTTCCAATTAAATTATTTGAACATAAAACCGAAGGACTGTACACATTTAAATTTAAACATAACTGCTGCAAACCTTGACCTTTAACCTGATAAAACTTCGTTGGAAGTACTTGATAAATTGCATTCTTATATTGGTGATTTCGAATCTGTTGAAAGTTTTGATTTTTCTACCCTATATACCACGTTTCCTGCATTTAAAAAGTCGGAATGCGAATATATATGTTCAAACTCTTTTAGGTCATTTTTTAGTAACAACAAACAAAAAAAACTATATCAATTGGACATGCTTTGATACTATAACTGCCCTTGAATTTTTACTAGATAACATTCTTGTTCGCTATGGAGATTCCGTATATCGTCAGGTTATCGGAATTCCCATGGGGACTAACTGTGCACCACTTATTGCGGACAAGTTTCTATATTGTAATGCGTTACAATTTATGACTAAAATCAGCAAAGACCCATCGAAACAACATCTGATTCAAAAATTTAATATCACTTTTAGATATTTAGATGACATATTGGCTCTCAATAATGACGACTTCAGTATGTACACTAAAGAGATTTATCCTGCCGAACTGACTTTAAATAAAGCTAATACTAACAATGAACACTGCCCTTTTCCTCGATCTTGATATCTTTATCTTTAACGGGAAACTTAATACCAAAATTTATGATAAAAGAGATGATTTTTCATTTCCTATTGTTAATTATCCATTTTTAGATGGTGACGTTCCCTTGTCGCCATCTTATGGTGTTTATATATCTCAACTTGTTCGATTCGGTCGTGTATGTAACAACGTATTTGATTTCAACGAAAGAAATCTCTGTATTACTGAAAAATTATTACACCAGGGTTTTCGATATCACAAACTAGTCAAAACATTTACTAAATTTTATCATCGGTACAAGAACATCATTCGTAAATATAAATCAACATGCAGACATCTTATATGTTCAGGTATTTCACATCCAATATGGTAATATTCTTTACAAAGCACAAACATGTCG